TACCTTCTTCTGCAATTTTCTGGAAGAGTTTGAGTAAGATAGGTGTTAGCTCTTCTCTAAATTTTTGGTAGAATTCAGCTGTGAAGCCATCTGGTCCTGGGCTTTTGTTTGCTGGAAGATTTCTGATTACAGTTTCAATTTCCGTGCTTGTGATGGGTCTGTTAAGATCTTCTATTTCTTCCTGGTTCAGTTTTGTAAAGTTATACTTTTCTAGGAATTTGTCCATTTCTTCCAAATTGTCCATTTTATTGGCATAGAGCTGCTGGTAGTAGTCTCTTATGATCCTTTGTATTTCAGTGTTGATTCATCTGTAAGTTAGAGAAAAAGGTCCCTTGCCCTTTGTAACATTTCACAGTCTTCTTCTGGTCTCAGATTCTTCCCATCCTAGTAAGTCTAAGCAATACTTATCAGGAAGGAATTGGACTTAAACTGCCTCCATTTTTCCTGATTTAACATTAATCATGGAGACAGCCTTGTGCTTTCTCCTTGCTAGCATCCTGTTTAGATTCTTCTATCTGGTATCAGTAATTTAGAAACAGTTCCCAAATCTCCATGATCCCTCATATCAGTTAAAGAAAATACAAAGAGCATTGTAAGCATTTATATATGATCATGTGTGGTTTTATTGTAAGACAAAAGGATATAATCTATAAATCACTTAATCTATGAAGAAGATGAAGAAGAATATTAACTAGCATAGCTGTGACTCTAAATCCTTGCTGCTTTATTTAATCAAGGACCCCAGAGTAATTGACCACTAGATAATGAAATCCACTCTCAACTCTCTACATAAGCAATTATTTAAATAGTTAGGAGACAGGATAATAAAGTAATTGCCCAGTGCTTTTGAGGTCAATAGGTTAACTCTACAGAGTTTAATTAAAATTTGATAATAAATGCCTACTCCAGGCAGAATATTTCATTAGTCTTCATCATGACCTAGGTAAAATATTCCTTATAATTATGTTCTACTGCTTTTAAATTCTCTTCTCATGAAGCAGGTTCCTTATTGCTAATTAGGATTCCCACACTGGGAAAAGGAGGCTTCCCACAGTAGCTTCCTCATGAGAGAGAGATGCACTGTAAAAGAGTAAATTGAGGTTCTACTAGCTTGTTTTTAAATGTCTACAGAGTGAAACCAAATTGTAAGCTTTAAAAAGTATTTTATAAAAGCACTCTGGCAATGGCTGTGATAAAATTTCAGTCACATTCTTTTGATATTAAGAAATTATTTTTTCTAGTTCCTGTTTGAAATATGTATGGTACTGAGAAAATTTAGGTTTCTTGGTAAGCAGAAGTGTGTGTAGAAATTAGGTCAAAAGGAAGATTTATCTTAAAAGTTCTGTCCTTTTTCTTGGAGAGATAGGTGGTTCCGAGGAAAAGCTTTTCCCTCTGAAGGAAATAAAATCTGTAACTACAAAGTAACTGTGAGGTTTGAGTGGTATGAAACTGTCTAACTTTCTCATGCTCTCCCAGGCCTTTCTTTATAGCAGTGTTGGAATCCTGCTTTCATTCTGCATTCGTGTTCATTTCTGTCACTGTCATCTGCAGTCTGTCTCATGTAAACAGCTCCACAGTCTTTCCAGGCACTGTTCTTTTCTATCCTCCTCCATCCTCCATGCTACTACCAGAATTACATCAACTCTCCTCCACATGAAATGTGACTAGGTAGATGCTTGTCCTAATTCCTCAGGCCTGTGTGTGGGACCGTGCCCCTCACATCAGGTCTCAGCATCTGTCTCTGGCCTTCTCAGATGCCCTTTGTTCATGGAGCCTCTACTTAAACTATTCTGAAATCTCATGCTGTTTTCTCTTCTTAGAATGCTCATTTCCTTTTCTCTTTCACATGATAGCTATCTACTCATCTGTTAGGAGCTAACTCCATCTCCTCTGAGATGCCTTCCTGGATTCCCCAGGTTTGCATCTCATTCTCTGTTGTTACCACACTTTATTTTCATGCTTCCCTTAGAGTATGCATACTGTACCAGAATCTGATACAGATTCTGTATCAGCAAGCCAGATTGCTGGCTTGAGGTCTTCAAGAGCAGGGACACAGTGGTCATATCCATGGTGCCCATTTCTGTACAGACACGTTCTTGGTATTCAGTAAAAATGGTTGAATGGAATTGAGGGTCCATTAAACACCTTTGCTTCATTCATTTGCCTTCTATTAAAGTTGGTTCACTGACCACATTCATTTTTTGTCATCATCTGTGATTGCACACAGTAGGAGCATAACAAATGTTGAATGAATGACTTAGTTCTAATAGCACTGTTGAGCTTGTAATTAAGAGGCACATGTATTTTTAGATTGAAAAATTCTCTGCAGATTTATTTCCTTGATATTAAAATTACATTTGACAGTGACAAAGAATTTCACATTTTGTGCATTTCTTTGGTCACCTTTTCGCCTTAGAATGAATTACTCTTCACTTATAACTTTTGTGTGAACCTCCCGGCTCTTCAGCCGCAGCTTGTTGACCTGGGACTCGGCAATGTCAGCCCGTTCCTCAGCCTCCTCCAGCTCGTGCTGGAGTTTGCGGAATTTGGCAAGATTGACATTGGATTGTTCCTCCTGAGAAAAGAAATGCATTTGAGAGAACAAGAAAATGTGACATTTCCTGATTCTTACTGCCTTTGTTACTAGGAGCAGCTACAGGATTTGCTTCGTAAGTGAGAAGCAGAAGGTTCTATTCTTTGGTGATATACCTGTTTGGGACATGGCATCCCACACATTCGCCTCTGTGTTGTTTGGGCTTACAACTCCCTGTTCAATTATCTCTCATTTAACTCTCTTCTTGGCAAACTCAAGATGCTACAGTGACAACAGGGAGATCAAAGTAGCAGGAATTTGAATCAACCTTGTTTCTGTAAAACAAACTCTTAAAAGTAGGTACCGTGGTAGTGCTGGGTGCAGAGAACCTTAAGGAAGGATTTTAGGATTAACAGTATGAGAAAGCACGCATAAGTGCTCAGATGCTAAGTTGTGTCCGACTCTTTGTGACCCCATGGACTATAGCCCACCAGGCTCCTCGGTCCATGGGATTTCCGAGGCAAGAATACTGGAGTAAGTTGCCATTTCCTTCTCCAGGGGATCTTCTCAACCCAAGGATCAAACCCGCATCTCTTCTATCTCAACATTGGCAGGAGGGTTCTTTACCACTAACGTCATCAGTAAAGCCCTTTTCCCTTAGTTNTTCTGGATCTGCTTCTTCCCGCCCTTCAGGGCCAGCTGCTCAGCCTCATCCAGGCGGTGCTGCAGGTCCTTCACCGTCTGCTCCAAGTTCTTCTTCATCCGCTCCAGGTGGGCGCTGGTGTCCTGCTCCTTCTTCAGCTCCTCAGCCATCATGGCTGCCTAATTGGCAGTAACACAAAACTAGTTGAGAAAGGTGAGACAGCCCATCAAGATTCTAGCTTGACGACCGGGCATGGCCCTCTGCTCACATCAGTGATGGCCTTCTTGGCTTTCTCTTCAGCGTTGCGAGCTTCCTGGACAATGTCCTCCATCTCTCCCTGGATTTGAGTGATGTCTGTCTCTAGCTTCTTCTTGGTGTTGATCAGGCTAGTGTTCTGTTTCAAATTAGTAAAAAAGAAGACAAGGTCATTTAATTGTATTATACCTATTTACATTGCTATTTTTACTAGGCATTAACATTACTGATCATAAATATTCAGAATAAAAACCAAATCAAAGGTAGACTCTGTTTCACTTCTCTTCTTTCTACCTACCTACATCTGTTAATAAGAATTCTTTTAGAATCTTCCAGATGAAAATTAATTTTGGATACCAAGCATATTCAACTGTTATCAGTGGCTGCTGTAAGTATAAAGCATGACCACTGCCCCAGGAAAAAATGTGAAGTGCTGCAGGTAGCATCACATAGCTCATGATGAATGGATTATTAATTTTTAGTTGTTTATTCACATTTGTTGGCTCTATATGGATAAATAGCATCATTATTGGTACAAAAATGAACCAAGGATCTCTTACATTTTTAGAAAGTTGACAGTATTTGAAATATGCAGTCAATTCAAGGATACTAAAGATGAGTAACAAAAATGCTGCATTTTAACTTGATTTTAAAATTATTTTGTAGTATGTGATTTTAACTTTTCATGATGGCTATTTCCATATATTGCAACTTTAAAAAAGTATACAATAATATATGTTTATTGTAAAAAAAAAATAGTTGACATACAAATTAGCAAAGAAGAGACAAAGAATAATTACTATATTCTTACTACCCAGAGATAACTGTTGATAAAACCTTTGCTTACACTTCTGGATATTTTCTGTGTATTTTTAAAAGAAAAGATAATGCTTTTTATATGATTAAATTGCTTTTTTAACTTATTATATTGTGAATATATTTCCATAACATTTATTACATGAATATTAAGTGCTGCCTATTAGCCTTTGTGAGGATATAGCCACCACTGATTTAACAAATCCATTATAAGCAACAAATGCTGACTAGAGGGACTGTGGCCTTCCTGCATTTGATTTATCTCTTTGCAGCTTAGAGTTACAAAAGTACCGATGTTGTAAATATGATTGTTAGTAGGGGGTCTTTTGTGCTTTTTTTAAACAGAAGTTTCTAGAACAGTAAATTATTTCAAATCAACATGATTAAGCCAGTCTATAAATGTATTTGTGAATCTGCTGGACCCCAGTGCGTATTTACTGCTGTACGTTTTCCTGAACTCCTGGGAGGGACCCTTGCCAAGGTTCCTCCTTACTACTGAACAAGCTTATCCTCTGCAATGGTCTTCAGCTTCAGGGAGTGCATTTGGTCAACCATAGTCCCAGACCTTACCTGTGTGTGCAGGAGCTGCACACGCTCACTGGCGTCCAAAAGCTCTTGCTCTGCCATTCGCCTGCTCCTCTCTGTCTGTTCCAGTGATGCCCTCAGCTCTTCAGTCTCAGCCTGCATCAGGTTGGCTCTGCGTTCAACCATGGCCAGCTGCTCCTTAAGGTCATCCTGGCCCCTGATGGCATCATCCAAGTGGAGCTGAGTGTCCTGCGCAGATGGAGCAAAGCGCTGTTACTCATGCTCCAGTTAAAGCAAGTGCAACTTTAGGGTCATGGACACACATTGATCTTGACAACTGAGTGCTTGATTGGACAGGAAAAATCCTCAAGTCTCTTTAAAGACAAATTCTTTGTAGCTTGGGTGGCAGTTCTACCCAAGAACGTGACGTTATATTATTTTAGATCCTGAGTCATTAAAGAAAATGCCACAAATAAAGCTATACAATTTTGGATTAGGAAAGTAGCCTTAGAGATGAGCTAATAAAATGGTCTTGTTTTATAAGTGTTAAATAAATAGAGATATACATATTATGTTTCTATTTATACATTAAACACATGCAGTCTACATAAGTGAAGTGATTTGTGCAGTGGTATGTAGCTAAAATCGTTCATCACTACCTCTGTGTTGTCACCCCTCATCACTTTGTCTTCTTTTCAGATGACAAAGTAAATTCTGCCCTGGGCTTTTAAGAATTAAGCTGTTTTTCAACTGTGTGCAGCAAAACTTCAACTAATTACTGTACTATTCAGATAACTTATGGCATATAGTCCTCCTGAAATATTAAAATTTGAGTCACATAATTACTCCCAGACTGTATGACACCATGTTTGTTTATCCTAATGTACCTTCAGTACTCCTTGTGTGTTTCTAAGATTCTTTATTGCCTCAGTAGCCTGGCGATTGGCATGGTTCAGCTGGATTTCCATTTCATTGAGGTCTCCCTCCATCTTCTTCTTGATCCTCAGGGCATCATTCCTGCTCCTGATCTCAGCATCTAGGGTGCTCTGCATGGACTCCACAACTCTGAGATGGTTCCTCTTTAGCTGATCAATTTCTTCATCTTTTTCAGCAATTTTCCGGTCGATCTCTGATTTCACCTGATTTAACTCAAGTTGGATGCGAAGGATTTTGCCTTCTTCATGCTCGAGAGATGCCTTTAGAAAAAGAAACATTTAAATTATCTAAGGAGTGCTTTGGGGGGTACATTATGATGATTTCTTCAAGAAGGCATTAGAAAAACTCACAAACTCTAATACAGCTTAGTTTAGCCTTTTATTCTATATTCCTAAGGTACAATTCAATATTTCTTACTGAATAACATGAGTTATCCCCTGAAAGTTTGCAACGTGATAGATCTCAGTGGCTATTAATTTTTCAATTTATGTATAATGCATAGGTGAGCAAACAAAACATGTACCTCTGCTTCCTCTAGAGCAGCCTGTAGTTCACCCTTATCTTGTTCTATTTGTTTCTTTACTTTCTCCAGTTCATGGATATGCTTTCCTCCCTCTGCAATTTGCTCGGTCAGGTCAGAAATCTCCTCTGTAGTTTAATAATAAAATACAAAGTTCAATTGAGAAAGATGAAAAATTGAAAAGATACCTGTCTACCATTTTTGAAATAGAAAGGTTACAAAGACTCACGCTGTAAGTTCTTGTTTTCTCTCTTTAGGGTTTCAAGTTGGTCCAGGGACTCCTCATAGGCATTCTTGACTTTGAACAGCTCAGTGCTGAGAGAGCGGGACTCCTTCTGGGAGGCCTCAAGCTCAGCCTGAGTTTCCTCATACTTCTGTTTCCATTCTGATAGGACCTGAAAAACAATAAATTGTCAGTTGATGGAGAAAGGGAGACTAAATATTAATAAAACATGGGTGGAGTTTGTATAGGCTGAGCCACCTTGTCAAAGTTCCTCTGCTTCTTATCGAGAGCCGCGCAGGCAGCATTGGACCTCTCCACGTCGAGCATGAGGTCCTCAACCTCATTCTGGAGCCGCTGCTTGGTCTTCTCAAGGGAGGCACATTTGGCATTCACCGCTTCTACATGTTCCTCAGCATCCTGCAGACGCTGGGCCAGCTTCTTCCTGAGAAGTTGGTCAGTGTGAGTGACCAAGCGCAGAGTCAGTTACCACCATGAACTTTATAAAGCTGCTGGCTAGCATATTTTCCCCAAGACTTTTTGCTCCTTTGCCCATAAGTTGTTACAGTTTTCTAAAATACCTTCTTAGCACCTGTTTTATCTCTCCTGCGATTCTGTTTTCCCTAGTGAATTCTTTTTTACCTTGGAGATATTCAACAATGTATGAGGTCATTTTGGTGTGTTTGCTGGTGGTAATGGTTGAGGGGGTATGGAGATTCTGAGTAAGCACTTTAGTGGAGCAAGCAATATGAAGATGTGAGGGTGAGGAAAAGGGGACAGCCATGAACAGGAAGCCTGGCATTAAAGACTTTTAACTTTGAATAGGATCCTCAACCATTTTCTAGTATTGTCTTCTTTACAAAGGAGGAAACTGTGGCCCAGAGTGACACTGTCAATATCATACAATTAATCAATAGTTTTCTGGGTTGGTCCCTTGAGAGAATAATATTATTCCCTTATTACACTCTCCAAAGCCTTATTGCTCCCTTTCAGCCCACACTCATAACCAGGATGTTTCCTCTACAAACGCTCATCAAACTCTCTCATTCTGTTTAATTCTAACAACTGCTGAGATAAGCCAAACTTTAGAAAACTTCCTTCACTAGAATATAATGATTATTTTCCTTCCATGTGTACCTCCCATGAGTTTTATTCCACAGCATGTGTAATTAGTAAGTTCATTGGTACTGGTTGTTAGTTAAATGATGGGAAAGTATGATAGTCTTATTCTGAACTAATAATACTCCAGGTAAGGATAAATGGATTGCTGTTAATTATAATATTCATAATAACGTACTAGGTAGTCTCAGTACCTCTGTTTTTCCTTATATTAAAGAAAATGAATTATTCGTAATTCATAAAGGATATGCTGATAGTTATTAATTCATTTTGGTGGAAAGAAATTTAAGTTGCTTTTGTAACAGACCAGAATAGGGTGAGGGCTCTGGTCTTGGCCCTTTCTCTAGTGGACATACACTGGGCTGACAGAAGGAGAATATGGTGGAGTCTACCACTCTACATAAATAGGCTGAAATCCTTCCCGTATCTCCATGGAATAGTCTCTTTCTTTTTTCTTCACTATTTTAAAGCTTCTACTTCTTTCCACCCGCCTTGCTCAGAGCTCATACTTGGCCTCCTCCAGCTCCTCCGTGCGCTGGATGGCATCCGTCTCGTACTTGGTCCTCCACTGGGCCACCTCGCTGTTGGCCTTGGACATCGCCCTCTGCAGCTCGGCCTTGCCCTCCTGCTCCTCCTCGTACTGTTCCCGCAGCAGGTCACAGTCGTGGCGGGCTGACTGCAGGGCGTGGGCCAGGGCACTCTTGGCCTGGACCAACAGAAAGTGTGCACTGTAAGTTTATGTCCTGATCACTGATATTCTCAGTGTGGAGTTGGATAGTGTGACATGTTGCAGAGTTCAAGTGACTGAAGGTATCAGCTGGAGAATTCTCACCTTAGTCTCCTCTTCTAGCTGCCTCTTTAATTCCTCAATTTGTTGAGTAAATGCTTGTTTGCCTCGGGATAGCTGAGATACCAGAGCATCTTTCTCATCTAGCTGTCGTGAAAATTCACCTGTGAGAGACAGAATGTGGTGATTTAGTTCTGTTGTCTAGGTGAAGAATAACTTAATGAATGAAATAACACCAGAACTCTGTTATTTCATATGACAAGGAGAGTAACTCAAGAGCTTTGATGCTGTTGAGAAGTTTATTTCTTGCTCTTTTCTTCAAAAAGTGTGGGAGTTTTCTTTGGTATTTTAAGGTTGAGAGGGGTGGTTTGAGTAATGCTGAGGCAAAAAAATATCTCTTCAGCCCACTGAGATTAAATTTTTTTCTGATTATAGCTTGTAATCATCCTACTGTCTCACAGTAAAAAGACGGAGGAATAACCTATCAATGATAAAGGGGTGTACATGGCCAAAGAAATGATTCCGTTTTGATGGGTGTACCCTGCACTCCAGCCCCTCCACGTTCACTGACCTGACTCTGTGTGTAGACGTGCCTTCTGGGCTGACAGTTCATTGATTAGGCGCTGCTGCTCCTCTTCCTTAGTTTTCACTTCACTCAGTTGGTCCTCTAGTGTACGGCACATTTTCTCAAGGTTTCCCTGTGGTGGGAAGTATAAAACGGGGAAAGATAACATGCTTCCCTTTGCAAGTCTGGGGAGACTTACTTCTCTTTGTAAGTCTGTAAGTCTTTGCACAAAGGGGCTGAGTTTTCTTTACCCTCCTTTCTACTGCAAAGCCCTGCACAGTGCCTTGGATGCAAAGTCAGAGGCACCTGATTTTGGCTAAATGAATAAATGAGCTATTTAAAAGTTAGATTATTGTCTTTTGGAAAACTAGAACGTCATTTAAATTCTGCATCATGGAGAATATGGTTTTTATGTAAGGTTTTTTTTTCTGTATTTTCATTGTTTCGTGGTAATAGTGACAAAGTTTAAAGTGATTTTTCTACAAAGGAGATAGGAAGATTGAAATGATTCATTTCAATATAGTAATACCTATTAATAATAATTTTAAAGTTTGAGATAACATCTAAGGCTTGTACAGTTAGATTAGATCATATAGAAACTCAATCATTTTGAGTCACGATAAATAAGATGAAATGGGACAGGTTAGTACATACCTTGGCTTTGGAGACAGTCTCCATGTTGCTGGCCAGGTCGTCGATCTCCATCTTCAGCTCGCTCTTCTCCTTCTCCAGCTTCTGCTTGACCCTCTGCAGGTTGTCGATCTGCTCCCCCAGCTCGGCCACACTGTCCGCGTGCTTCTTGCGAAGAGCGGCCGCCGTGGCCTCATGCTGCAGCGTGGCCTCCTCCAGGTCCCGGCGCATCTTCTGGAACTCAGCCTCCCGCTTCTTGTTCATCTCAATCTGGGCGGAAGTGGCCCCGCCGGCTTCTTCCAGCCGCTCGCTGATCTCCTCCAGTTCCCGGGAGAGGTCTGAGCGCTGCTTCTCTGCTTTGGCGCGGGAGGCGCGCTCGGCCTCGATCTCCTCCTCCAGCTCCTCGATGCGGGCCTGGAGGTGGGGAGAAGCTCATCGTGAGCTCCTTTGAGCTAATTGGTAATTTTGTCATGTTGCATGAGACTGATGGAAACCATGGACTTACCTGTAACTCCTTGATCTTCTTCTGCAACTGCATCCCGAGGGCCTGTTCATCTTCAATCTTGCTTTGCAGATTGCTCATTTCAAACTCCTTCCTGTTAGGAGAGCAGCATGTTAGCTCATGCCGTGTCCTCTTGCCAGTCTTTTTTATGTGTAACTGAACATTTTTATATGGCTGGTGTTGAGGAAATCCTAAGTACATGTTTTATAAGTCAGTAATGTAACATTTTCATTAAGTACAAAAGTCAAAGATGTCATTATTTGTATTTTTTTTTTTTCTGTGTGCCATGAAATAATATTTTTGAGATCCAGATAGTGAGCCGCTTACAAATGTATTCTTTCAGACTCACTTTTTAAGTTTCTCATCCAGTTGCTGCTTATCATTTTCTATATCCATTGTGGATTCTTGGGCCAATTTTAGGTCACCCTCCAGTTTCCTCTTGGCTCTCTCTAAGTCCATGCGCAGTTTCTTCTCTTGTTCCAGAAATCCTTCAAGCTAAGTTTATAATGCATTTTATTTGTTTCAGTTCTTAAGCACTGAACGTAGCTTTCAAAGACACAGGAGTATTTTAAAAGATACAGCAAATAGCATGAAAGCTTTAATTATTATTTCCAAATCAGCAATTGAAGGCTTATGAGCATCCCTGATGGTTGTGTGTCACAATTGTTTATTTCACCTTAAGAGGGAACACTGTGTTTTTCACACTTACGTCATCCACTTGCTGTTCTAGCTTGGTTTTAGATTTGGTCAGGGTGTTGACTTTGTCTTCTTCTGCCTGCAAGTCATCCAGGGTCTGCTGGTGGGCCTCCTGAAGGGCCTTCTTCTCCTTGGTCAGTTTTGCAATGTTTTCATCAAGGCCTGCCATCTCTTCTGTGAGGTTTTTCACCTTTAGAGTTAAACAAATTACAGGAATGTTTATGACATCCTGTTGCCTTGATGAGAAACATGGTAATAGTTTAGAATAATATCAACCTGAGATGAGGAATGGAAACTAGAAGTTAACCCAGGAATATGTAACTGAAAAATATGGGAGATAAAGGTCAAGGTAAATGGATAAAGATGATGAAGACTAAAGAGATGACATAATTATAACAGTATTATCTTTTCATATTCAATAATTTCAGGATTAAACATGCAGTTAAAATACATCAGTAACAAGCTCGCACTTGTAAACACTTTAAAATGGGTCACGATTTGTACCTTGTTCTCTGTGGCATGTTTCTCCTTCTCAACCTTGGCCAGTGTCAGCTCAAGGTCATCTATGTCTTTCTTCAGTTCCGAACATTCGTCCTCCAGTTTCCTCTTCTTGGCCGTCAGCTCAGCATTGATCTCCTCCTCATCCTCGGCTCTCTCAGTTAGCTCTTTGATTTTTGCCTCAAGTTGGATTTTGGTTTTAATCAGCTGGTCACACCTTTCCTCTGCATCAGCCAAGCCATCTGCTTCCTAGAGGGGGAAAGGAAACATATTCATTTGTTTAAGCTGTATCTGCAAATACACAACAATGTATTAAAAGGAGTAAACTTCCATGACTCAGTGAGAACGGTCAACACATATGCCAACTAACCTGTCAACTTAATCAAATGGACAAAACGTTAGTAATTGCAGTCTACTGATTAAATAAATATAATAGTGAATTTCCTCCAAATATCCATGTGTGGAAGGTCAAATCAGTAAAATTAGCCTTTTGGCAAAATCTGCTCCTTGGCTACTTTGGAAAAGTTACTTATTCATTCTAGGGATCAGTTTTCTCACATTTGAAGGGGGATTAATTTAGCCTTTTTTCTGTCCTGGTAAAAACAACATAACTTCCATTTTATGCACAAAGACATTTATTAAGAGGAGAACATTATAATGCAAGGGAAGGTTCTAGAAAGAAAGGAAAATGTTTATGGATTTTTTTGTGTGTGACTTTGCTCACCAATGACTGAACTATGCATGAATGTGCATTGAACGTAAAAGGCATAATTTGTGACTGCGTCTACTCTTCTTTAAGTCTGAGTTTTAGAATTTTTGAAGGGTAAACAATTACAACAAATGTTTCAGTGGAAACCATTTATTTATAAACCTTCAGTTTAAAAAAGCCTCATATCCAGTCAGTGATTGGATGATATGTAGCTGAACTGTGCAATGTCTCATACTCACAGATTGAACTTGGAGTTGTAAGTCGTTTTTCTCTTGCATTAGAGTCACCATTTTCTCTTCAAGTTCTTTCCTTTTTGCCTCCGACTTAGCCAGCTCTTCTTTGGTCTTCTCAAATTCTTCCTTCATGTTGGCCATCTCCTTCTCTGTCTCTGCACTCTTGAGGAGGGGCTTGATCTTGAAATACAGCTTCATCCAGGGCCAGTGCTTGACATTCATGAAAGCACGGACATTGTACTGGATGCAGAAGATAGATTCTCTGTTGGAAGAAAAGACGCAAGTGAAGAAGAATGTGGAAAGTTAGCATCTCTCAACAAAAATAATGACTGGGTTAAGCTATGAAAATGTGGAGAAGTAAGACTTGTACTTGTTTGCTCACCTTCTCTCCATCATCTTCTTGAATTCCACTCTCATCAGGAACCCTCTACAAATGGCCTGAGTGCGTGTGATGAGCTGAGCCAGCTTTTCATCTCGCATCTCCTCTAGAATTCCCAGCAGGCCAGCCTTAAAGAAAACCTTGCCAAAGAACAAGTTAAATATGTTACTTCTGCTCATAAGAAAGCCCAGAGAGGGTGAATTATGATAGAAATTAGGTTTGCTGTTACCTTGGTGTGACCGAATTTGTACTGGGTGTGATCAATGTCAATAGACCCTAAAAGTTTCTCAGAAGCCTTCTTGCTGTCGATGAACTGACCCTCTGGGATAGCACTTGCATTTAGAACCTTATATCTGTCAGAATAAAATCCTGAGAAGTCACACTGGAGCTTGTCTGGGTATCAGAAGTGCCTTACCAGGAGTTTTAGTTTCATTGGGGATGATGCAGCGTACAAAGTGGGGGTGAGTGCTCCTCAGGTTGGTCATCAGCTTATTCAGATTCTCCTGTGGACCCATGTTAAAAGTTTCAAAATAATTTCTAGTTGCATTAATAGAAACGAGAGTTCTTATTAATGATCCTTAGTGAATTTGCCCCCATTTCATATTTTAATGAGCTGTCTCAATGAAGAACAAGTCATGATGACCAGAGAAATCATATGTATGCAGTGTAGAGAGGGAATTATCGATTACAAAAAATCAGCCAACTTCAGTTTATTTTCCTCAAGCACTGCCAATCAGAGAAAATTTGTATTGAGACTTCAGTCATATGAAGTAGATGTAACTGACTACATCTGCTTCAAAGAGGATTGGATTTCATGTGAAATTTGTTTACTACCAGAGCTTTTAGATATAGGGCTTAAGGGGTAAATGATTAATTTATCCTAAAAGTTGATGTGAAGAAGAGACACACCATGGGTCTTTTTGCTGAATTTTTCCGTAAGGAATTTTCCAGTTTTTTTTTTTTTAAAGTATGTCACTACCTCAGTCTCACCATATATTTCTTTAAAATAATTTTTTAAAGTTATGGTAATATTATTTTTTAAAAGTAATCCTTTGGAATTCAAGAATATACTGTACCCTGAAAAGAGCTGACACAGTCTGGAAAGAAGAACCCTTCTTTTTGCCACCTTTCTTTCCACCGCCACCCTCTGAAATATGAAATGGAAAAATTAAAATTATTTACAATGATCCATAGACATTAGGGCTGCCAAAATTCCCTTGAAAATTTAAATTTGCACACATTCACTTGTGTCATTCCTATTCTTTCCATGCCTCTCCCCCTGCAACTTTAGATTAAGAAAATAGGTGTTGGTTCATGTAATAGGCATTTAGAACAACAGCAACAAAAACAAAGAAAATTGTGGGTGAAAAGAATATATGTGGGGAAGGGATGGGACACAGCTACTCCAAACTGGCCAAGTCTGTTCCCTGAAGGAAGAGCCCAGGAGACAGAGTAGTAATGTCTCCTTGGTGCACACAATTCCTGGAGGGAAGGCAAAGTTGCATGCTTGGTCCCAGGTGGGTGAACCTCTGGTAACCTGCAAGGAAGTCTTATTTCCTATTTGCCTGTACCTTTGTCCTGTTACTTGCACGTTTGGGGTTTAGGAGAATAGAACTTCAATTTCTTAAGCACTGGTGGGCTGACGCAAGATGTCCTCGTTTCTAGCTTAGCTGAATCCTTGAAAAACCCAATATTGTTAAAATGCTATAAATGAGCTCTATGATCTGAGTAAGTCCCTTAAGCTCTTGGAGTCTCTGTTTCCTCATTGGTGAAATGAGGCTATAGACAAAGGATCCATAGTGTCAACTGTAGCTTTGAAAGTCTGTGATCTTAGAATGATACCATGCTTATTAAATATACCTCTTTCTATTAGCTCCACATTGGCCAATATTTTCAATGGTAGATTTTGCTATATCTGTCTCTGATAAGCAAGGTTTTTCTGTTTTGAGACTCACAAGGATATATAATTGATCTTAAAAATACCTTCAGCACTTGGACCTCCAGCGAAGAGGAAAGCCAGAGTCTTCATTGCGGACTTCTGGTACAGCCCGACCACCGTCTCATTCAGGGGGTCCTTGTTCTTGTCCAGCCAGCCGGCAATGTTGTAGTCCACGGTGCCCGCATAGTGCACCAGGGAGAAGTGGGCCTCAGCCTTGCCCTTGGCAGGTTTGGGCTTCTGGAAGTTGTTGGACTTTCCAAGATGCTGTTCATAAAGCTTGTTCTTGAAGGAGGTGTCTGTGGCCTTGGGGAACATGCACTCCTCTTCCAGGATGGAGAAGATGCCCATAGGCTGAGAGAATGAAAAGAAACATGCCACTTGAATTGTCTGCCTGCAGAAATAATGGGTAGCATTCTGATCTGACTTGAGTAAATACATCGTATCATTCTTTACAGTTAGTGAAAACTCATTTCTTCAGTCAGAAATTGTTAAATGGCAAGTATTAATTGGGTGCCTATCAACACCCAGGTGTGTGCTGGGCTCTGGGATATGACGGGGAGTAGGATGAACAAGGAAGGACCTCTGGTGGAGTTTGTGTCTTTGCCCCAAAGCCTTGGAGCAATGTTTCTCCAAGTGTGACTTGCAAATGGGTTGTGTCAGAAACACCTGGTAAAAATGCAGATTGCGAGGCTCTACCCCACCCTTACCCAAAACTATTTCTAGGAATGAGCTTAGGGGAATGTGCAGGTTTACTCAGTACTTGCAGGGTCTTTGGCAACTGAGAGCCCCTGCTTTAAAGTACTAGGAACTCCACCTTCAAATACCAGCAGTGATGACTCCAAAACTGACAAAGAAATAAGTGAATCATGCTCTCCTCAGAGCTCTTTAATAAGGAAAGATGGTTTAAGAATCAGACTTGTCATCAGACTATGAGGAAGGGTAGAGTTCTGGACTCTAGGAAAGACTGAGTCTCCTTTCATCAGATCATCTCCCTCAGAGTTGGCCAAAGGACCTTCCCTGATCTTAGTTACCAATAGAAACCTTTTACCAGAGTGTGCAGTGAGATTTGTGATTTTCTTTTAAATCCGGGTCAGCAGGGTGACCTGTGGTCTGAGAAAGGAAAGCGAACCTTCTCGATGAGCTCGATGCAGGCGGCCAGGTCCATCCCGAAGTCGATGAACTCCCACTCGATGCCTTCCTTCTTGTACTCCTCCTGCTCCAGCACGAACATGTGGTGGTTGAAAAACTGTTGCAGTTTCTCATTGGTGAAGTTGATGCACAGCTGCTCCAGGCTGTTGAACTAAATAAGTAGAAAATACAAATGAACATTCTTCTCGTGATAACAGCTTCTCCTCAAAAGGACCCTTCTTACATAGTTAGCCTAACTGCTCCCTGCATGAAAACACAACCTGACTCAGAGCGATGTCCCCATACACAGAAGCCAAAGAGGTTCTGAGACACGGGTGAACCTTGCAAATACTAGGCTGAGTGAAGGAAGCCAGGTTCAAAGGACCACATAGTGTGTGATGCCATTTACATGAAATGTCCAGAATAGGCACATCCATACAGGCAGGAAGCAGATTTCCAGGGGATGGGGTAAGAAGGAAATGGGAACTGCTTAGTGGGGAGTGGTTGCCCACTCTGGGGATGAAAATGTCCTAAAATCTGTTGCACACATCTGTAAATATATGAGAATCCATTGAATTCAGTACTTTAACAGGGTGTACTGCATGAGATGTGAATTATATCTCAGTAAAAAGACTGTTATTGAAAACTCTCAAAGAGGTTGCCAGTTTACACTGTCCTTAGCTCTCATTTGAAAACATGTGGATTACTCTTTGTATTGTTGCTTGGAACAAGATTATTCCTCTCTTCCCGTGTTGGGTTGAGGATTTCTGGAAATGCTTTTGTTCTTAAACCCAGAAAATCTCATCCAGTGTCCATGCGTGTACTCAGAAAAAGGTGTGGAAAGAGACCTCTGGATCAGACACACCTGAGACACTGCTGTTGGGAAGGAGACTTGGGTAAACTGTATGGGAGGTATTCTGTCTTAGGCAGATGAATTTGAGTTTCTTTACCATGCCATGTCCATCCCCTCTACTGGCCATGGAGGGCACGTGGGAATCTCAGAATTGATCTTTGAATTTGTCCTTGTCTCCCACACAGCCATCTCTGCTAACTATGAAAGTGCTAACTATGTTCTGGGGGATGGTGCTTAGGTCTTTTTTTTTTAGGTTTTCACTATTTATTTATAACAAATATTCCATGTCCAGATCCTCTTCAGTTAAAAATATGGAACGCTTCACGAATTTGCGTGTCATCCTTGCACAGGGCCCATGTTAATCTTCTCTGTATCTTTCCAATTTTAGTATATGTGCTGCCGAAGCGAGCACAGTGCTTAGGTCTTTAAATCCAGAAATCTTGTAATGGCAAAAGATTCACAGAAGTAGATCTGTTATCTGGGGTGCTATGTGCTTTCTATACAAGTTTTAGTTGAATTTACCCTGTTTGGGGTCAATACCATTTCCATTATCCAAGTTCACAGGTAGGAAATGACATTGGTGGAGTTTGAACACAAGTTGATGCCCTTTCATGGACTTTTTGATTGTCTTCCATGTGTCAATTTAAGGTGTTATAGTGTTAACTGTCTTTTTATATACCCTTTCAAGTAATGACTGCAGCAGCAAGATTGGTAAAGTTTTCTCCTGCAAAATTTCTGCTTACTCACATCAAAGATCTCAAAACCAGCGATGTCCAAAACCCCAATGAAGTACTGCCTGGGCTGCTTGGTGTCCAGCTGCTGGTTGATGCGGGTGACCATCCACAGGAACATCTTCTCATAGACGGCTTTGGCCAGAGCACCCACTGCATTATGTACCTTCATGGACAGAGTAATGATTGTTGCTCTTATTAAAGATATGACCTGAAGGCCTGGAAAAAGTGTGACTCACAGAGGTTGTGCACTTACCTGCTGCACAGTCTGGCCTTTGGTGACAAACTCATTGCCGACCTTGACTCTGGGGTAGCAGAGAGCTTTGAGCAGATCAGCAGAGTTCAGACCCTGGAGGTAGGCAGCCTTGTCAGCAACTGCAGAGACACAATTCAGACATCCAGCATGGCCTACTGTGGCCCCACAACACCTAGGGGCGGAGTAAGGAGGGAATCACTGCTATGTGGGGTTTGGTTTGTGTGTCCATCAGATGCTCAGGTGTAAAGGAGACAGCTTGGAGTCAGCTTACTTGCTTATTTTCTCTCATTTAACCCAGTTGGGGGTTCATTTGGTACCTTCAGTGCCATCTGGTTCTGCTTGCTCCTCACGCTGCTTTTGCTTGAATTTCAGGTTCCCATAATGCATTACTGCCCCTGTGAGCTTGTAGATGGACACCCTTTCATCAGAAGTGAAGCCCAGGATTTCAATGGCACTCTGCCAGGAGAGATGAGAGGACAGAATTAGGACACGAACTTATTTAGGAGACTTTATACTGTGTCCTGAATCGCACCTACAGCAGGGTTGTCACTGTCGTTCCCATATATAACAACTCATTTTAAAAACTGCAAGTGAAACTTACATCTGTGGCTATCAGCTCTTCTTGGTCATCGATGCTAGGGACTGTGATCTCCCCTTGACTCACAAAGGCGTAGTCATATGGGTTGGTGGTGATGAGGAGCATTTCTGGGTACACAGAATTCAGGGTGTATGTTTTGCATTAGAAGGGACTAATAAAGATGTTAGCTTTTAACTCAATACATTTAAGCTCTTTCGTACCAATTAGCTCTGGCTTCTTGTTAGACATGATCTGATAAAAAATATGGTAGCTTCTTTCTGCCTTCAGCTGGAAAGTGACTCTAGACTTCTCCAGAAGATCTGCAATGGCAAGTGGACATGGGATTAGAGGGAAAACTGATAAAAGTTCTTGGAGTGACTTTGGATCATGGGGTCAGTAACTAAAAATTTCATTGGCCCCTTGTGATTTTAGCTAATGGTCCAATAAGGTACCACATAATATTGTCTTTACCACTGTGGTACTCTTACCCTTCTTGAAGGAAACTAAAGTTGTCTGTCTTAGACATATTCATTTCTCATACATAGGATCCTTGACAATTGATTCTTGATAACCTGTTCCTCCTCAGGGCCTCTGCTCACTTAATAATAGAGTAGTTACTAAGAGCAACATTTATCAAGCTCACACTATGGAGGGAATTTCATACACTAAACCCAACTAATGCACCCCTAGTCTTAGTTTTTTCTTAGAAAAATTTGAAATGTCTTGTGAAGCTGGAATCCTTCTGATAAGCCCAGCAATTCCTGGCAGTTTCTATAGCAGAGTTAGCTCCTGACTGAACTGGGTGAAGCACACCTGCGGGTCTGGTTAGACTGGCATTTCCCAAGGGCGTGTTTGGTGTTGCACAGGCTCCTAGGCCCAGCAGGAGCTGGAAGATGTTCCTCCAGTCCATCACTGTCACTCTAGATTCCGTTTAGGACGTCCTGTTACTCACATGTTTCAATATCAGCAGAAGCCAGTTTCCCTGTGGTACCGAAGTGGATCCTGATGAATTTACCCTTGCAAGTGAAAAAGACGATGTTGCATACAAACCAGCACATGAGTAAAAGATTGAAATAACAACTGAGGCGTGCCTTTGTGGGCATTTAAGACCTGGCAAAACCCTTTTGTGACCCAGAGACTCACAAAGCGAGAGGAATTGTCATTCCTCACGGTCTTGGCGTTGCCAAAGGCCTCCAGCAGGGGATTGGCACTGATGATCTGATCCTCCAGAGTCCCCTGCCAAGGCAAAAGCAGTGCTCACATCTGGGGCTTGGGCGTTTCTCACCTGACAGCCCACACGCTGACCTGGCAACCTGACCCACCTGCATTTTGCCTGAAGTTGGTTCCTCCTTCTTCTTCTCCCCAGTGACTGCAATTGTTGCAAAGTACTGGATGACACGTTTCGTGTTCACAGTCTTTCCTGCCCCGGATTCTCCGCTGTCAAATAAAAACCGAGTCAGTAGCGGTCCCAAAGCCAGCAGCTATGTCAGTCGTGAAAACAAAGCATCACGTCTACTTACGTGATCAGGATTGACTGGTTCTCTCGGTCTATAAAAGAGAAATTATAGGCAGTCAATACCATTTTTAATTATATTGGTAAATGGTAAATTAATAAAATGGCATGAACCTAGTATTTTTCAGCAATCCTGAGGGCTTGGTGGTCCCCAGGCCCAGCACCTTTTCCAGCTCCCCTCTCTCCTGCTCCCTGAGGCTCCCCCCGCCATCACATCAGCTTACAGACCACCACGGTAACGGGACACTGCAAGGAAGCAGCAGACTATCTCTTTTTATTCTCTACACTAAATGCATACCAAGTGGACTGGAGTTTTCAGATGGATTTAATTGACAAATTAGCATGTTTATTGTAGATACAAGAAGTAATGATATAAGGCATTAGAGATATTTTTAGCATGGGAGAAGGAGTCAGTATAGTAAAGGTGGTAGCTTTGGAAGTAATCATGGCCTTAGTCGTATTTTCAGGGAAAACTAAAGGCTCATTTCGATGTTCCACTCTCTCTGAAGAGGAAATCTCTCAGTCCTTTTCCCAAGGTGCCATTGTGCCTTAGAATGGTCTAGCTTAGACAGCATTCTAGAAAGAAGATTCACAGTATGATCACTTTAATTCCAGATACACCTTAAAATTTGGAGTATGTTTTGGTTGGTTCTGGGCAAAGGGCGATGGCATTTAGGGGACCACCTCAAAGAGTGTGTTGAGATGAGCAGAGTCTCTTTCTCCTATGGTTAGTCTTTCTCTCCTAGAGTCTCATCTCCTAAAAAGATGCACATGGAAAACATCCAACTCACCAGTCAGCATGAACTGATAGGCATTGTCAGAGATGGAGAAGATGTGGGGCGGGGCCTCCTGGCGCTTTTTGCCTCGGTAGGCCGTCACCACCTCTGCATTGTACACCGGCAGCCACTTGTAGGGGTTGACGGTGACACAGAAGAGACCTGAATATGTCTGCACCATAAAAAAAAGGAATATAATTGTTTCATGAGGACACTAATACTGGTTTTCAGCATGTTAAGCGCCTGCCTGAACAGGGGCCATGAGAACAGACTCACATAGATCATCCAGGCCGCATAACGCTCTTTGAGGTTATAGAGCACAGCGGGCTCATGCAGGTGGGTCATCATGGCCATGTCCTCGATCTTGTCAAACTTGGGAGGGTTCATGGGGAAGACTTGGTCTTCTTTCACAGTTACTGTCTGTCAAGTCAAACAAGAGAAGCCAGGTCAATAAATAAGTGTCAGCTCCCCTAACTGGCAGTGGGGCCCCGTCTCATCCCCCCCAGATGCTCTACTCACCGCTCCAGCTTCGGTCTTGGCTGTCACCTTCCCCCCTTCTCTGCTCTGCACCGTTGCTTTCACAAAGGACTCCTTAGGGTCCACCACAAAGACCGAGGTCTTGGCATCAAAAGGCTTATTCTGGGCCTCAATGCGCTCCTTTTCAGACTTTCGGAGGTAAGGAGCAGCCTCGCCAAAAATGGCCATCTCAGCGTCGGAACTCATGGCTGCAGGTTACTGGTGGCAGCAGGGCAGCAGATACCTAGATGGAGAGCCAGCTGGACGGTGAACCAGGGTGCAGGCGGACCTCTTCCTATTGCTTTTCGGTCAGTATACTTCAGTGGCTGTGCCTATTCCTCACTCTGACTTGAGGACTTACTTCTGTGGACTATGCCAGTGTGCTGGTAGAGCAGATCACTGATTTGAAAGTCTTATCTTGGCAGCTTAGTATTTGTGATATTTAAGCCTCTATCCTATCCTCTATATTATTAGCCATCCTTGACAAATGTGGAGTAATTGACATTTCAACCAGCAACATCTCCGATCTGTTCAGAATTTTTTCTTCTCCTTGCTTTTTTTTTGTTTCCTTTTCCAAACCCCCTGCCTTTTTTTTTTTGACATTGTGACCATAAAATAAATGGAAAATAACTATTTCTAATGGCTTTACCATCTAAATGAACCTATTTTAAAAACTCAACTACTCAGGCAAATTTTCCTCCTGTCTCAAATTATTAAAATTGGATTTATTAATTGAATGTGAAAATTATTCAAATTGGATGTATCAAAAGGTAAACCTGTTTTTTGAACAAAATTCCATGTTGAAAACAGCTGATAAACACAAATTTACTCCTCATTAATTCAAAGGTATTAAGTAAGTAAAAGGATAAGTACAGTGAAAGCTGAAAATGCAACAAATGATTTTGTCCTAAGTCATATAAAAGTCTTTTTCTATAATCTGTTCTTAAAATTTGTGGAAGTCAGTGGTTTATCTAAACAGAAGATAACTTTAAAAGACTCTTGAATTAAAACATCTGAATTCTTAGTAAAATTTCATAGTGATTGTATATCTTTGGTCTATGATTTTTTTCAGCTAGATTTCAGCGTACTAGTTGCTTTTATCTGATTCCTATTATTTTAGGTACATATTTATATCTGTATCTTCCCCTTTCGCTTTCTTTTAAAAAACAGACCAGTCCTCTAAATCTCTCTTCTGAAATGGGTAGCCACTATAAAGTTTCAAGCCAAAGTGAACTTTTTTCTCACTCACAAATTAATTATGAGAAAATAAGCCCTCTAGCCCAGATGAGTGACCAGAGTTAAAGAAGGTGGAAAGCCATGTGTTGGTTGCCAACAGCAATGACAGCAACAGCCTCAACATTTTGTAGGCATTCCAGAAGTCTTGGTCCTTAATCATCAGGATTAAACTTCCCTTGACTTACAAGGTTTGGGTGTTTGCCATGTACCGTATCTCTGAAATCTATCTAATTTGTACCTCTAATAGTCTCTTGACAATACTGAAATTTAGACATATTTTCAGATACTGAAACACTTAATGTTAGGGCTTTCTCTTGCAAGGAGAAAAGCTTTTTTTTGTTTCTGTGTTTGTTTTCACACCAGGCAGTTTTGAATTAACAACATCCTACTTTGCAGAGATTACTACGGTGCAGTATATCCACAGAACTCAGAAAGGATGCTTCTTCTCATTTCAGTCTGAGATAAATCATTTCCCAACGTGAGGGTCACAAACCCCCAAGGATCCCCAAGTTCCTTGAATCCACCTGCACAGTGAAAATGGTCTCAAGTTTGAACAAGCAACATTCCCAAACTATGTTTTCTCTTCTTTTAATGAATATATCTAATATAGCTGCTATATTAAATATAAACTCATTCAAAATAGTTATTAAAAATAGTAGGTTTTTATCATTATGTATATTTCTAGTGTAATAGTAAAAGTACACATTCCAATACATGGAGTGAGGGAGATCCGTTAAATGTTTCAGTTCCATGGAGAAGTCCTTGGAACCATTGACTTAGATCATAGTTTACAAGAGCTGGAGGCACCTGAGTAGTCATGTAGGATTCAGCTTCCTTATTTTACTGGTAAGGAAACTGAGGCCCAGAAAATTGAAGAGTCATGCAGCGTTCCAAATGTGTGAGTGGTGGTGTTAGGATATGAGCTCCATTGTCTTAAGTCCAGGTTCAGTGCTAATTCCACCGCAACATGCTGTATTTTAAGATACACAAAGCCAAGTGGCTTGACCCAGGCAACTAGAGTTGGTGCAAAGCCTGGATTAGCACCTGGAAATTTTGACTTCTATAGCTGCACGTTGTTGATTTTATCCCTCCTGATAATATCCTCAGTGGTTAAGTTGCAGTAATAGTTCATATTAAATATTAGATGTGATCTTTGCATTCTTTCTGAAGTTCTCACATGTCAAAGAGAAGAGTCATAGATTTTGTGTGGGTAAGTGGTCTGAAAAGCCAAAATTTTATGAGAAGCCGGTTTTAAAGAAGAACTGCTTCTTGTATCCTATTCCCAATACTAAACTAGGAAATAAACTGGTAGCTCTTTAAGACATAGCAATATAGAAATCTCTTTATTCTTTAGAGTGTAATAATAAATTACTCTTACCTCTTGTGTTATCAGATGCAGAAGGTGGCAGGCTCAAAGCAGAAACTACTGTTGAAAAACAAGAGAATGCAGATTCTTTCATTTCTTCCCCACTTAATCACAAAATATTAGTAACTATATTGTGTACGATGTCATCTTAGGAGTGTTGGACAGAGAAATTAATTTGGGAAATAGTAGCCATCTCCCTTAAGTGAATAATCATTTTCATCAGGAGTGTAAGACTAGCCAAGTGTTCTTCCACATATACATACCTTAAAGACTTTTGCAGAAGGACAGGACGGAGGCACCCCAACTCCACTTTTATAGAGACTGTTCTGCAAACACAGCAGCCACCTCAGCTGTCCCATCCGGGAACCTACTTGGCAAAACCTTTTTTGGCAATCTCTTTGCACAATATTCACTGACTGTGGCTGTGAATGGATATAATTAGAAATATTTCTTGACACCTATAAATAATTTGACAGAGGATGATCTAGGGTTCTTTATAGGCATTTGATAGGGATGGGGATTCAGTGCTTCTAAGGCTATTTCTCCAGCTTTGCTGTTGCATCATTCATCACAGCATTCATAGCCAGGTTCCCACTATTCTATAAAATTGGTCCAACAGAATGAGCTTGACATGAGGAGTTTAGAACTAATGGATTTGTTAGCCCTTAGCGCCATTAAGGAGCTGGGATGAATTTTAGATCCGACAGTATGATTGCAAGCAGTGAGTGATGGATATTGAAGCAGAAAATTTCTAGCCCAGGTCCGGATCTTGGAAACACTAGTGATGGATTCTTTTCAAGTCTGAGCGCCTAAACATGAAGGAGAAAGTTTAGGCAGATTCTCAGATTAGGCAGTAGTGACAGACCAGTGGTGGAGTCATATAGGATTTAGAGTGGATATAAACACTTCTGTTCCTTTCTGGAGGACATGGCTGTCTTCAGTTCACGTGTTTTCACTGAGGAAACAACAAGATGCCATGTGATATTCCATGTATGTTTCCACTGAATAATGGAAGGAGACATAAATATACATTCCTAGTTAACAGGCAAATCCTCATGACTATTTGTTGCTCAAATGAGGTGGGTAATACACATTTTTATTGAAGGTGGGAGGAAAGCTATGGTATCCGTAAGACTCTCTCTCTCTGAATTGAGAACATGAGTGGGCTGTCACATATGTCCATAGTATATGTAAACTGGGTTTTGGTGGTTTTGCCACAGACAGCTGCTGCTGAACATGACAGGAAACCTATCTACTCTGTGTGACTGAGATCTGATATGATATTTTTGGCTATCATCTGCTAGCTTAAATGACCGATGAGTGTGACTACTGTTTTCAAATATCCTATTAACTTAGAATTTCTCTTTCATACATTTGCAGATTGAATCTTTTACATGTTTTATTTCTTTGATAACTACTGTGGAAGAGTTGGTCAGTCTGTTCCCCCCCTCCCCTCCCCGTCTCCATGGAAACGATTCACAGAAGTCTGGTGACTTACCCAAAATGTTAGTCTTGAAGCCAGAAAGAAGAGACGTCTTTTTATTTTTTCTCAAATTTAAGATTTTCACAACTCATTTATTTTTACTTCTTCTAGAACTTAATATCTAAATGATAGACATAAATGTTATCAAACACATGCACTAGTTTTGGAACTGAAAGATAAAAGAAGAAACTATGGATGAGAGCAAGACATATAGACTGAGTAATACAGGTAGAGCTATTGGGGATTCTCTACCTAAAAGCTACAGCTTTGCCCAGTTGTAGATAGATTGATCATGTAGTTCTTAAAAAGTCTAAAGCAAGGAGTAGGTGGAAGGTGAGGAAGTAGAGTCAGTTTGTATATATAACACTTTTGAGAATCTGTGTAAAGGAAGCAGAGAAGTGACTCAATAGCTGGAGAAAAAAAAAAATAGGGCCAAAGGAGAGTTTAAGAAAGGATATAGTAGAGTGGGAGAGATTGGAAATAAAACTGAAAGAAAAGGATAATCCATTGTAGAAATATTCTAAGTGGGGGGAAGGGATGAGACTCACAGCCAGGCAGAGGAGGGGGCCCTGAATTAGTGGAGAGACCTCCACATCAGAAGGATAAAACTGGTTTTGCAGTAAAAATGGGTGGCCTTTTTTCATCTGATGACATCCAGTTTATTTTTTCTTTTAAGCAGGATGTGAGATCATTTTTTCAGGCAAAGAGGGAAATGGAAATTTGAGGAGAGTGAAGTAGAAAGGGGAGATTTGAAGTAGAAAGAAAGAGTGAGAAAGCTAACTGTGTAACTCCAGCACTGAAGGGTCACTGGGGTTAGTGATTGGGAGTTTCTCTGAAGTGTGGAGTAATGAGTTGTTTGATTCATTAGTGTATTTGCTCTCAAGTGTGACAGGGGATAGGAGATGGCAAGGACGTTTAGGACTCTGTCAATAGAACAGACAAAAAGCCAAATTATGAATTTTTGCTTAGTTGGGGAAGAAATAAAGATGAAATTGGGGCGGATGGATATGGAAGAAACAAAAGGTCGAAATACTGGAAATGTCAATGGAGTCGAAGAATTGTTATGTTGAGAATAGTCCAACAAACAAGCTAGAAAATCAGGAGAGAGATGCTTGATTTGGTGACTTAGAAGTTTAGGCATTTTCTAGAGTGAGGCTGTGGAAGAGATGGAATGGAGGTAGGAGACAGTGTATTGGATGAACCATCCATGTGGGCACTGAAGTCTACCAGGAATGTAGTGTGAATTGCATGGAGAGAGGAGAGGTGCCAAAATCTTCAATGAATGAGAAGTCATTAGGTGTCACCAATAGATATTTTGAATAGCAGAACAGCATGATTCTCAAACAAGAGCTTTCTGTAAGAGGATCAATAGCAGTGGGGGTCAAGGGGGTTATCATTTCTAGCTTAGGACTAAGGCATTCTTAAAGTATTAGAGAATAATGGTCAGCTCTTACAAGTGCTTCCAGAGAAGCACTGATCTTGGTGGGTGGCAGATTTTAGTTCAAGCCAAGAGGTGGAGCATGTTCCAGGAGGCATGAGGAATCTCATGTTTTCCAGGAGAGTCAGTATTCAGTGAGGTCCCACTAAGACTGGCTGCCATTATCAGAGTCTACCTTTCTTTCCTGTTTCTTTGCTTAACATTTGTCCATTTTCCTATTCATTTTTCTCATTAAGTCAGTAGCCAAATGAAATAGCAATGTGAGATTGGAATATTAGATTTTAACCACTGGCAGAGAATTTAATAATATATTAAGGACTATTAAAAGCTGCTTTATAAAGTATTTTAAAGTGCAACTCGAGGTGTAGCATTACACAGTTGTCTCTAATGATTGATAGAAAGCAGATGGAGGTGTGTAATACCCCAGAGGGAATTGTCCCCAGGAGCTGAGGTCCAGAGGGTACAGTTGGATAACTTAACTTACTAGATAATGTAATTAATAACACTTAATTTTGTATTGTTCCTTTTAAATAGGTGTGTAATGTTCTTGTAAGACCTTTGTTGTATGTATTCCTAATAGACAAGATAATGCTCTTTAACCTGCTCCCTGCCTGTGAAAAATAAGGGGAAGGCCCATGCTGGCCTCAGCACATGTAAATCTATAGTAGTAATACCAATTAGAGTAATGATAGTAATTGCCATACACTGTAGAGAGGCACAGTGTAGGAACCAAAAGATCAAATAATGACAGTAGGGAACCGACTTTTGGGAAATATAAATTGACCTTCTGTTGCTAGTAGAAGTACTAGGAGAAAGCCTTATAAAAAGTACAGAAATTTCCAAAGAGACAGAACTACTGAAAATATATTCATCCTTAGCAATTGAGAAGACTCAGTAAAACAAACAGCAGAACATCTGTAGGTAGCAAAAAAACTAACAATTCCAGAAAATCTATAGAACGTATTTCCCTCTCAAGGGGTCCTAGTCCCAACTTAGTGGATATAGTTTGCATTTTAAGTACTTTTGCATGTCTATTCCAATTTTTTTCAACTTTTTCTTTTCTTTTATGTAGGTAATTGGTGTTTTATTTGTTCTCAGTCTTAGGATCAAGGACTTCCTACCGTTTTATGAAGAAGGTCAGTAAACTCACTAAGAGAAATTGTTTTTTCCTGATAACTAGCTGATGCTTTGCCAGGTGCGATTTACACTTGGCTCTGCATACTCTTGTTTTGGATGTCTAAGATCTGCCTCTAGGCTTCACCTGCTCTTCCCACAGGGCCATGTGGTGTTTAAGGGCTCTTCCTAACAGGGACTGGCTTGGCTGCTTGTTCCATGTTTTATTTTTGGTGACTAAATACTTCTCCATAAGTTATAAGTAATATGTTTGTTTCTTGTGGCACCAAAAGATAAACTGACACGGTATAAAAAAGAGACTCACAAGGTCTTTGCAGATAAATTTTTTATCTGCAAAAATCATAAGTACAAAACAGAGTGACAAAGATTTTCACATTTTGTGCATTTCTTTGGTCACTTTTTAGCATTTGGATGAGTTACTCTTCACTGATGATTTTTGTGTGAACCTCCCGGCTCTTCACCCGCAGCTTGTTGACCTGGGACTCAGCAATGTCAGCCCGTTCCTCGGCCTCTTCCAGCTCGTGCTGGAGCTTACGGAATTTGGAGAGGTTGACATTGGATTGTTCCTCCTGAGAATAAATGGAAATGCATTTAAGAGGGGGGAAAAGTTCAAAATTTCTAGTTTCTTAGATCAGTGGGTCTTGAATTTATTACTTAAAAATGGTTCACTCTAGTATACCTTTTTTTAGCCTAGAGAAATGCTCATGAATTAAAAAAAAAATTAACTTCTCTCATGCTTCTGAAGTCATGGGTAGCAAGGAAGGACAGGTGACATTTGTCTCCAAGTTGTTCTAACTAGAAGTTCTCTTTTTATAACATCTAAACATCTTAGGTGGTGGTGGTGGTTTAATCGCTAAGTCGTGTCCAACTCTTGTGATCCCATAGACTGTAGCCTTTCAGGCTCCTCAGTCCATGGGATTCTCCAGGCAAGAATACTAGAGTGGGTTGCCATTTCCTTCTCCAGGGGATCTTCCCAACCCAGGAATCAAACCCAGGTCTCCTGCATTGCAGGCAGATGATTTACCAACTGAGCTATGAGGGAAGCCCAAACTACTGCTAAATATGCCAGCTTTCCAGCCTCTTTTTCTTTCCCCTTACCTCCAGAATTCTGAGAATGGAACCAGACCTCTTAAAAATGCATGTATACAATTTGTATTATACCAAGCTAGCACCCTTGACTATAAATTATTGTCATGCTAAGTCGCTTCAGTTGAGTCCGACTCTGCGACCCTGTGGACTGTAGCCTGCCAGGCTCCTCTGTCCATGGGATTCTCCAGACAAGAATACTAGAGTGGGTTGCCATGCCCTTCTCCAGGAGATCTTCCTGATCCAGGGATCAAACCTTCATCTCCTGTGACTCCTGCATTGCAGGTGGATTCTTTACCCCTGAGCCACCAGGGAAGCCCTGTAAATTATTATTGTTACTTGAGTATAAATTATTGCCACTTAATGCAGTTTAAAAATTAAACAGGAAGTTGTTTGCCAAGACAGTCTATGTGTTCCCTGATTATATGAATATTTGAACACATAGCAGTAAATTTGAGAAGGCCAGTTCTAGTTTAGTCTCTAGTAGTCATTCTTTTTTTTAAAGGCTCATTAAGAACTGTCCAAAGTAAGGCTTTCCAATTTAGAATGTTTAGAAAACTTTGAGTCACTTAAAAATAGAGCTTGAGAAAACCCCCAGATGGTCCTCTTATAAATGAAAGAGTAGGAGCCAGAGAAATGTTCTCTCTCTCTCTCAGACCTTAGATCAGGGGAAAAACAAAACCAGAGATGGTCAGAGGAACTAATTTGTGATATTTAGGTATGTATCTATTCATACTTTTATACCTGGGAAATTCATATTTTTATTATTAGTTCAGATAATTCACAGGCTGAGGAAATGAGATGAGGTGGAATGCTGAGGATCTAGTGGTTGCAATATAACCAAGACCTTCTGAGACTTGATATTTAAAGGTTTGCTTGACACCTTCACTTGTGTATGTATAATGGTATCTCAAAGAATGTTTCCAAAACAGAATTCCTGTTTCCTTCTTGGCCTACATGTGTTCCTTCCTTAGTTCCTCATTTTAGTAAATTTATGTCATGCACCTAGTTACTCAAATCACAAATCTGATTAATTATCCTTGTTTTCCTTTCTCTGTCTTTCCAAGAAAAACCTATTAGTATATCTTCTAGTTTTGACCTCCAAAATATATCTTGAATCTCTCTACTTCTGTTTTCTCCACAAGCCACTGGACCACTTGAAAACCCTCCTGAAAGGTCTTCTTGTACCTAACAGTGTTGTCTTACTATCCATTCTCCAATAGTAGTCAGAATTCTTTTTTTAAAAATATAAATCAGGTCATGACCAACCCAGCTTAAATCCTGCTGTGGCTTCCCCAGTGTTCCACTGTACCTCGAATAAAAGCCAGACTTCTTATCATTGCCTAGAAGACCCCATGACCCACCCCCTGCCCAGGGCGGGGGATCTCTATTGCTGTTCCCCTATTCTTTGCACCTCTCAGACCAGGCTCTTTCCTACTCAATAGATTGGCATTGCTGTTCCTCCTTCCTAGAACATTCTCCCCTATCTCGTCAGGTGGTTGGTTTCTGTTCATTTGTCACATCTTCATTGAATCATCTTTCATTGATCCTTCCTTATTTTACCCTTATTTCTTTTACCCCTTGAACTAAATTGGCTTGAATATATCTGAGAACAGGAGGCAGCCCCATCACCCCGAGGGGGTCTGAACTCACCGCTTCCTCAGCTTGTCTCTTGTAAGATTTCACCTTTGCTTGCAGTTTATCCACCAAATCCTGGAGCCTGAGAATGTTCTTGCGGTCCTCCTCAGTCTGAAATATTTTCAAGAGTGAGTTTCTTGAAAGCACAGATACCATCCCATTTTGTTGTTTATTTGGTTTTTGATCCCTTGTAGCCAAGGGGAAAACAGAGACAGGGTATTTTCCTTACCTGGTAACTGAGCTCCTTCACTCTTCTCTCATGTTTGCGCAGACCCTTGACAGTTTCAACATTGCGTTTCTGTTCACTCTCAACTTCTGCTTCCAATTCACGTACCTGCAAGAAGATGAATATTTTAGAGATGTTCACTGTGGTCCATTCACTCAGTGGATTTCTTCTTCAGATGAAGCATAATGCTGCTTCTACTATGCTTTATATGTAGTATACGATGCCCTAGTCTAGTCACCCCCTTTATAAACTCTTACAAAGAATATCTCTTCTGAATCTTTGTATGCCCCACAGCATCTAACAGTGTGAGGTTCTAAAAAAAAAAATCATGCATTAGATTAGAATGAGATGGGAATAGGCTGATCAGAAGACCCACCCTGGCTTCCAGCTTCTGGATCTGCTTCTTCCCGCCCTTCAGGGCCAGCTGCTCAGCCTCATCCAGGCGGTGCTGCAGGTCCTTCACCGTCTGCTCCAGGTTCTTCTTCATCCGCTCCAGGTGGGCGCTGGTGTCCTGCTCCTTCTTCAGCTCCTCGGCCATCATGGCTGCCTGATTAAAAGTAACACAAAACCAGTTGAGAGAGCTGACAGGCCATCAAGATTCTAGCTTGACGACCGGGCATGGCCCTCTGCTCACATCAGTGATGGCCTTCTTGGCTTTCTCTTCAGCGTTGCGAGCTTCCTGGACAATGTCCTCCATCTCTCCCTGGATTTGAGTGATGTCTGTCTCTAGCTTCTTCTTGGTGTTGATCAGGCTGGTGTTCTGGTTAAAATGCCAAATTTAGAAATATTAATACATGAGAGCAAAATCAGGGTGTCCAATGTTCTAACGAACCCACAAGCTAATTAATTAAGGTAACTAATTAGTATTCCTTCTTGTTCCATATATTTTTACAAGACAGTCAACTCTGAATGTCATAGTTCATATTAATAAAAATATTTGTTAATTCAAAAACATTACATATTTTAAACTTTAACCCCCCATATAACACTGTGAATTTTTAAATAATATGGAGATTAGAGCAAGATTTTCATTTCCAGTATCTTTTGCTGTTCTGTTATGCCCACCTGGGTGTGCAGGAGCTGGACGCGCTCACTGGCATCCAGGAGCTCCTGCTCCGCCATCTTCCTGCTCCTCTCCGTCTGCTCCAGGGTGGCCCGCAGCTCCTCGATCTCAGCCTGCAGCAGGTTGGCTCTGCGCTCCACCATGGCCAGCTGCTCCTTCAGGTCCTCCTGGCCCCGCAGAGCATCATCCAGGTGGAGCTGGGTATCCTGTGGAATGAACGATCATTGAGACACCTTGTTCTCAGGGCTGCGGTCACCCACCTGCGCTGGACCATCTCCGGAGCCCACTTACCTTGAGGATGGCTTGGGTGTTCCTGTAATTCTTCAGGGCCTCAGCAGCCATGCGGTTGGCGTGGTTCAGCTGGATCTCCATTTCATTGAGGTCTCCTTCCATCTTCTTCTTGAGCCTGATGGCGTCATTCCTGCTCCTGATCTCAGCATCCAACGTGCTCTGCATGGACTCCACCACTCTAATGTGGTTCCTCTTGAGCTGGTCAATTTCCTCATCCTTTTCAGCAATTTTCCTGTCAATTTCAGACTTGACCTGGTTCAGCTCCAGCTGGATACGCAGGATCTTTCCCTCTTCATGTTCAAGAGATGCCTTAACAACAGCAAGGGGGTGACGTTAGCAGGGAATGGAAGTGTTTAGTATTCTGGAGATAGGAATTAGCTCCTACCTTTGTGCTACCATAATGCATATTTATTCTCTGCAATGTGGAGTTGTTGGTTTTATATAATTCTATCTTCCCAGATAGCTCATGCCCTGGAGTTCAGGGCTCTGACCTCATCTTTGTTTTCTCAGTCTCTAGCGCAAAGTTCCTGATGTCCAGTTATGCTTGTTGTAAGCATGGTCAATTTTCTATCCTCATATTTATTATTACAGAGTAGAAATTATTTTTCTTTTCTCTTGATTCACCTGTTCTTGTATGTATTTGATCTCAGTTGCTCTCAAAATGGTTTTAGAGTCTACAGTAAAATGTGTACCTCTGCCTCCTCTAAAGCAGCCTGAATTTCAGATTTCTCTTGCTCCACTTGCTTCTTTACTTTCTCCAGTTCATGGATACGTTTCCCTCCTTCTGCGATCTGCTCCGTAAGGTCAGAGATCTCCTCTGTTGGTGAAAAAAATTTTAAAATTCACTCAGTGAGGAAAACATTCTTTCAAGTTCTTTGTTGAAGAAGAGGTAAGGTGCACTCACGTTGCAAGTTCTTATTTTCCCGCTTCAAGGTTTCCAGTTGGTCTAAGGACTCCTCATAGGCATTCTTGATCTTGAACAGCTCTGTGCTAAGGGAGCGAGACTCCTTCTGGGAGGCTTCAAGTTCAGCATGAGTTTCTTCATACTTCTGTTTCCATTCTGATAGGATCTGAGGGGCAAGGAATGGTCAAGAAATTTGGTGGAGAAGGTTGGATGGGATGAAACCATTTTTTTCTGGCAGCTTTCAAACAGAGTTGAGATGGTCGGGGACTGAAAAATAATTATGAATGAGAAGAATAGAAACCACAGGAGTCCTCCCTCCTCCCCACCTACTTCTGGCAGGAGCTGCTAAGCACAGCCCTTGGATGGTTTGAATAGGCACACGGAAGGTGACCAGCTGCCCTCAGTCACACGTGAATGCTGAGACAAAAACTGGTGCAGAAGTTACCTTGTCGAAGTTCCTTTGCTTTTTGTCCAGGGCTGCACAGGCAGCGTTTGTCCTCTCCACGTCAACCATGAGGTCCTCAACCTCATTCTGGAGCCTCTGCTTGGTCTTCTCAAGGGAGGCGCATTTGGCGTTCACCGCTTCTACGTGTTCCTCGGCATCCTGCAGACGCTGGGCCAGCTTCTTCCTAAAATGTGAAATAAATGCTCACACACATACTCTTCTAAAATGTTATCATTCCTGTCTGGCTGTATATTATTCACAGAATAAGTGACTAGATCTCTGCTTAAGTTTTTTCTTGAATAAGCAGGTCCCTTCCTTAAACTTTTTGTAGAATAAGATTCTCCCTGTTAAGGTCAGTCTTGAACTTTTGATTGCATTTACATCTTTATATAAAAATGTTTTCTTTCTTATTGCAGAATTTAATGTCTCCTTTTTAATCTTTAACAATAGATTTCTTTTTCCCTCTACAAGTAGCTATACTTTTACATCTCAAAAGGAGGAGCTGTGGTTTAAAGCCAGATGTTTTTTTCTCTTACATACCTATCACTTTGGATCAATTTTTCCATTAGTGACTAAGAAGGAGGAAAAGCTCAGGACCGTATAATTGACTATTACTCTATATACACTTGTGTAGGAATGATGACATCAAAAGTTTCCTTTTTAAAAAATAATCATTCAGCTTCCTGTTGCCCATGTCCTTCTTCCTTCTACCCTCTAGCTTAATTTCTTTTCCTAGATAACCCAGAGTATTTGTTTTACTTGCTTAAGTTTATATCATGCATGATCTATTCCTAAGTTTTTGTTTGGGGAGCAATGGGCATTTGTTCATGTGGTACTTAATATCAGGTGCACTTCGACTGTTATCTCTATTTCCATTTTAAGTAAGTCTAGAACATACTTGGCTTCCTCCAGCTCCTCCGTGCGCTGGATGGCGTCCGTCTCGTACTTGGTCCTCCACTGGGCCACCTCGCTGTTGGCCTTGGACATCGCCCTCTGCAGCTCGGCCTTACCCTCCTGCTCCTCCTCATACTGTTCCCGCAGCAGGTCACAGTCATGACGGGCTGACTGCAGGGCGTGGGCCAGGGCACTCTTGGCCTGAGAACATAGCAATTGGTGACTTAATTTTATTATCTTTAAAGTGATGTTTAGTGAGACAGGTGCTCAGGGCTGATGCACTGGGATGACCCAGAGGGATGGGATGGGGAGGGAGGTGGGAGGGGAGTTCAAGATGGGGAACATATGTAAATCCATGGCTGATTCATGTCAATGTATGGCAAAAACCACTACAATATTGTAAAGTAATTAGCCTCCAACTAATAAAAATAAATGAAAAAAATAAATAAAACAGCACAGATGCTCTGATAAAAATAAATAAATAAATAAAGTGATGTTTAGTCCCTAAGCTCCTGTAGGCCACCAGAAGAAAATCTGTAGAAGTAAGCAGAAAACAACCTTAAAAGCAAGTGTAATGACAGAAACAACAACAGTAATAAGTAGGGCTGACCTTTATCTCCTCTTCCAACTGCCTTTTCAGTTCTTCAATCTGTTGTGTGAATGCTTGTTTGCCCCTCGAGAGCTGAGAAACTAGTGCATCCTTCTCATCTAGCTGGCGTGAGAATTCACCTATAAAGACCAAGAACCAGAAAACTCAACCTTACTTTGGAAATTAAAACTCTTAAGTTACAAACTGGAGCAGGGGAAAGGGAGCTGGGGTTGAAACATGATGCAGAGTGCAGATTACAGCAAACCACTAATTTCTACTTCAATCCTGGTGAGCACATCCATGTGAAAATGAAAAGTAGGGAAGACTTTAAGGCAGATTGCACTCTTCTGAGCAACATAAAAGATTTCAGGATATATTTAAAATTGTTTGATCACAGTAGAAATTGATGAAGAAATATGTGAAAAGAAATATAAATCAGACTAACAAAAAGCATTCCAGTGTTTTTTGTCTACGGCAATGGTGTTGTACTAGTTTACCTTCCATTGAAACTTGACTGAAACAGAGTTTATTCTGTGGGATGTAGGAGACTTTGAGCAGCACCCTTTGAACTGATGTTCAAAGAAAAATCCTAGAAGAATTTTTATATTGAGACAATCAAGTGTCCTTCCACCCCAAGAATGAGTTGGTTTGTGGATAACAAATCAGCTCCTAAACTGTCATTTAAGTTTGTCTCCCATTCTTTAAGCATCATAATTTGAAAATACGCCAAACAGTTGACCCTTGAACAGCCAAGGGATTTCAACCCTTTGAGCAGTTAAAAATCCATTAATAACTTTACAGTCAGCCCTCTCTGTCCACACCCATGGACTCAACCAACTGTGGATCATCTAGTATTATAGTACATTTTTATTGAAAATAATTCACGTATAAGTGGACCCACACTCTTCAAACCCATGTTGTTCAAGGGTCAAATGTATTATGTTAAAAAGAGGGAAAACACTTTCAGCACCATTTTTGAACTGATAACCTGGAAGCCTTAGCTCTTTAACATTTAATAAGAAGCACAACTTCCAGTTTTTTTCATACCACTAGATTACCAGGAGCAAACATGTAATGAAGAAAAGAAACTACAAGGGGCATTTTGATTCTTTGAGAAGACAATTTTTTCTTTTCATGAAATGTATTTACCACCTGTATAACAGTAATAAAATCCTTACTTGAGTTTTGTTCTAGAAAGAACAATATTTGAATGAATATGAAAGAGTAAAAGTGGTTCTCCAACAATTTGATCTACCCATTGCTTTACTGGTTCAAATGACCCATAAAGCAATTTCCATCTTGTTACCTCTCACTTGGGGAGGCAGAACTTCGGTAGAAAGTTGGACAAGTTGGTATGTACTGGGAGGAGTAAATGCAGAGACTCTCCAGTTTGGATAATCAGAACTCTTTGAACCTCACTTGCACGCTCCTGGTTAGATTGTGGTCCTGAATAGTTCCCTACTTAACTGTGGTGTTACCAGAAATTGTCAAGACTTCAGGGAAAAGACTGGAGTAAGCATTCTTGGACAGGTCATTTCTCTGCTATTGTAATCTGACATCATTAAAATGGGGATAACATTACACAGACTAATAAGGGTAAAAAAGTAATTAATGTGTGGAGGCATTTTGAAACGTGAAAGTAAATACTGTTGTTGTTGTTCAGTTGCTCAGTCATGTCTGACTGTTTGTGACCCCGTGGATTGCAGCATGCCAGGCCTCCCTGTTCCTCACAATCTCCCAAAGTTTGTCCAAGTTCATGTCCATTGCATTGGTGAATACATGTCCAAGCCAGTGGTAGCTAAGGTGTTCATATTAGCAGCACCTCCCATGACCTCAAGTAACTCAGTGCAGGGTTTATCAGCCAGTTGAGAATCCAAGGTAAACTGGTCATTCAAAGTCAGGACTGGTAGATGCCCACCTGATTCTGTCTGTAGACGCGCTCTCTGAGTCGTCAGGTCATTGATCAGCCGCTGCTGCTCATCCTCCTTTGTCTTAAGTTCACTCAGTTGATCCTCTAGAGTGCGGCACATCTTTTCGAGGTTTCCCTGCATTCAAAAAGTGGTAGATGGCATCATTTCAAGTATTTGGATCATGGAAATCTGCAGTAATCCAAGGATTCCATAGGAGCTGCTGTACTCATTTCCTTTGAGAATAAGTTATCTTTACAGACAAAACCAACTGAGGCCTTAGACTGTGATGGAAAGAGTCATAAGGTAACAGTCTAAACCTACTGCCATGAAATTGTCTTGTAACTCAAAACCTTTACTCAACTGGCTTATCTGTGATATGAGAATAGTGATAGTCAATGATTCAGTTCATGAAATTTTTTTTGAGAAATTATGTATTTGTGCTTAAGGGGAAAACAAAGAGCCTACTCAAGGTGAGGTGTTTTGAAAATTTCAAAGTATACCATTGAATTGTATTTTTTATTGGAAGGAACTTGAGTTTTCAGGATGCACAGTCTTGGGATACAGCTAGTCTCGTGTAAGAGGGAACATTCGGCCCCATCACACTGGGGTTACCCCTTCCTGCCACTAGCCTCTGGTCATAGTCTCATCCTGCCAGTTGCTAGTGATTCCTGAAAGGCTCGCTCTCACCTGTCCCACGGAAATCTCTTTTAAGACTTAAATCATGATTGTACCTTGGCTTTGGAGACAGTCTCCATGTTGCTGGCCAGGTCGTCGATCTCCATCTTCATCTCGCTCTTCTCCTTCTCCAGCTTCTGCTTGACCCTCTGCAGGTTGTCTATCTGCTCCCCCAGCTCGGCCACACTGTCCGCGTGCTTCTTGCGAAGAGCGGCTGCCGTGGCCTCATGCTGCAGTGTGGCCTCCTCCAGGTCCCGGCGCATCTTCTGGAACTCGGCCTCGCGCTTCTTGTTCATCTCAATCTGGGCAGAAGTGGCCCCGCCGGCTTCTTCCAGCCGCTCGCTGATCTCCTCCAGTTCCCGGGAGAGGTCTGAGCGCTGCTTCTCTGCTTTGGCGCGGGAGGCGCGCTCGGCCTCGATCTCCTCCTCCAGCTCCTCGATGCGGGCCTGGAGGTGACACAGCACATTAACGTGATCTCATCTCAATTTCAGGTTTTTTGGGTGAAGAAACAAACGGAGGTGAGATGACTCACCTGCAACTCTTTGATCTTCTTCTGTAGTTGAATTTCTACTGCCTGCTCATCTTCAATTTTGCTTAGCAGATTGCTGATTTCAAATTCTTTCCTTTAGACAGAAGAACAAGACATATTAGTACTCCTACGAATTGAAAGATGGTGTCGCATAGAATTTTTTTCGGGAGTTCCTANGGTTAAGAAAGAGATGATCTCTGCCGTAAAGCAGCCTAATTAGATGGCGGAGTCTCTATATGCTGTAGAGAAGTGTATTTCATACCTTGTTCTCTGTAGCATGTTTCTCTTTCTCAACCTTGGCCAGTGTCAGTTCAAGGTCATCTATGTCTTTCTTCAGTTCCGAACATTCGTCCTCCAGTTTCCTCTTCTTGGCCGTCAGCTCAGCATTGATCTCCTCCTCATCCTCAGCTCTCTCAGTCACCTCCTTGATCTTAGCCTCCAGCTGGATTTTGGTTTTAATCAGCTGGTCACATCTTTCCTCTGCATCAGCCAAGGCATCAGCTTCCTGAGAAGGGATGGTAGACACTTTTAGGTCTTGTTCTGTGGACCTTTTCAGATTTTATTAAGAATTGAAACCAAATAAGTAAATTGTACTTTAAAGCTTTAGGTTAATTTTTATTAGTTTTCCATCATTTAGGAAATATTTATTGGGTATGTAAGGCACTGGAGATTTTTTAAAAGGAATTTAAGTTACAATTCCTGGTGAAATTATAATAAAATAAACTTACTAATGATGAGTTTCAGAATACACTACCCAAAATATGGTACCTTGGCACAATGAATATCTTAAGCTAAAGGAGTTTGAGAAAAGAGCAGAAACAGGAAGACCACTCTGAACTATTCCTCTTGCTCCTTTTCCCTGAAACAAGTCATTAACCTTCTACATGGAAGGTCCCCTCTCTGTACTGGGAGGGAAGAAGGCATTCTTATTACAAGAGATGGGGAATTTAGGGCTGAGAAGGCTGTATCAACAAATTTTGTTAAACCAACTCTTATCTTTCTGTTTCTTCATCACTTACTACCCCAGTCCAGGCCCCCTTGTCTTGTCAGTTCTTCACATGTTTATCATTTCTTTGTCTCAAAGGTGTAAAAGCTTCATGTTCTGGTCACTTCTTTGGGTCTTCATTCTCTTGTGAAGGCTTACATATATACATAAAAATAAAGTTTGTATGTTTTTCTCCTATCAATCTATCTTTGTCAGTTTAATTTTCAGACCTAGCCAAGGAACCCTAAGAGGGTCAATGAAATTTTTTCACTCCCCTACATGATAACCCATGTTTGCAGTCAGATTCTTTACCATCTGAGCCACCAGGGAAGCCCAAACCTGATTCCCGTAATTTCAGTTAGCTGTCTTTATTTAGTATTGTTTTCCAGAAAGGTTTAGTAAATGAAAAAAAAGAAATGGTTGGAGCATATTATACTGGGAGGAGTTAATTCCCATGTAGTTATCCCTTGATTTTTGAAGGTATGATAAATTTATCCTCAGTTTGAAAAACCTTGGACTTCATAAACCACAAGGGAAGTCACAGTGCCAACACAAGTATTTATAACTCACTTTTATTTTTTCTAGTTATGTGTCTAAAACCTGTGCACTCCCTAGAAGCAATGTAGATTCCCTTCTGAATTCAGAGAACTAGAGAGTAACTTTTAACATTTCTGTTGTTGATTTCATTGGTGGCAGCTGAAATTGTCTTGTCATTTGGGTCACAGAAATGGGATAGACAGTGGTGTTCATCAAATATCTCTTCTCAAGCCTCTGGAGATTTCTTAGGACATCAGAACAAGAGCATTAGCTCATGCTTTGCCTAATTGACACTATTTATAGAAAGTACTGCCATTATCTTGGCAATGATCTTATTTTTTCAGGTACTGGAGGATTCCTAAAGAGATAGTTGAGAGGGAAGTTGCCAGGGGGCCATAGATTTAAAAATTCACAATATTGGTTTCCAGTTGGTACATTTTCATCATAAAGTCTCCACCCTCTTCACTGTCTATATTGTTCTTTCTTCACTGTTCTTATTTGTATTTTTCAGTGGGGAGAATCTTAGGGAACAAAGATCACTTTATTTCCTGCCCATATTCTGCTAGGAAAAACACCAGGGGCAAAGGAAAATTACTTTTATTAATCTCAACAGCATGGAATCCTCTGACAGAGCTGTTCATAGTACTGCATATGAAATTTTATGGAACACTTTGAGGGGTGGGAATTAGGAAAGACTGGTGGTCAGTCCCTCAATAAGGTGCCATCTAGACTCTCCCCTAGCAGCTGCTGAATTGGAATTTTAGCATCAGATAGTAGACAGTGGATTCTGATACTCACAGACTGAACCTGGAGCTGCAGGTCATTTTTCTCTTGTGTCAGAGTCACCATTTTCTCTTCAAGTTCTTTCCTTTTTGCTTCTGACTTAGCCAGCTCTTCTTTGGTCTTCTCAAATTCTTCCTTCATGTTGGCCATTTCCTTCTCTGTCTCTGCACTCTTGAGGAGGGGCTTGATCTTGAAATACAGCTTCATCCAGGGCCAGTGCTTGACGTTCATGAAAGCACGGACATTGTACTGGATGCAGAAGATGGATTCTCTGTGATAGGAGCAGAAATGTTCAAAGTCAGGTATATCAGGAAACAGAATTACAGGTCATCGGCTGATAGGGTTAGAAAGTTTCCTGTATAGTACCTCCTCTCCACCATCTTCTGGTACTCCACTCTTGCCAAGAACCCTCTGCACCTGGCCTGGGTTCGGGTCATCAGCTGGGCCAGCTTTTCATCTCGCATCTCCTCTAGGAGCCCCAGAAGACCAGCTTTGAAAAAGACCTGTGCATGGACAGAGTTGCAGATTAGAAACTTTATACAGATTCCAGAGGGACAGGCATAGTGCCAGGTGGGCCTTAGAGACTATTACCTTGGTGTGACCAAATTTATACTGGGTGTGATCAACGTCAATGGACCCAAGGAGCTTCTCAGAAGCCTTCTTGCTGTCGATGAATTGTCCTTCAGGGATCGCACTTGCATTTAATACCTTGTATCTGTTTGAGCCAAACAAATAAGTGATATAGCTGTTGCCACCAACAAGAACTCTTCCTGCCTTACTAGAGAAACAGTTGAACTGCTGGGTGGTCTAACACACATAACCAAGTAATCATATCTACCCCTTTATCTATTCTTTGTATATTCAAAGGGTGTCAAACTTTTGGTATATCAATATGGAATTTGTTAAATTTGTTGCTTTTTCCAGTTGTAATAGAAGCTATAAAGGATAAGCTTATTTCACTGAAAAATTCAATAACAAGAACCTTGTAAAATAATTCACAGTGAGAAAGTCTGACCTCTGTTTGAAGTCTGCATACAGGATTCTGCTGGGGAAGCCCTTCCTACAGATGCGGATGCCCTCCAGCACCCCGTTACACCTCAGCTGGTGCAGGACCAGCTCGTGCTCCATGGCCCCTAAAAAAAGACATATTCTCCATAGAATAGTCTCCTGAGAAGTCACACTGGAGCTTGTCTGGGTATCAGAAGTGCCTTACCAGGAGTTTTAGTTTCATTGGGGATGATGCAGCGTACAAAGTGGGGGTGAGTGCTCCTCAGGTTGGTCATCAGCTTATTCAGATTCTCCTGTGGACCCATATGCATATCTGGTTAAAAATGCACCATTTTTATACATTCATATTTATAGACATAATTATCACCATCCGTGACATTTGTTTAATTCCAGTGAATAGTATCTAGATTGAATTTGCCACGGGTTGTCTCTGAAAATAGCTCTACTTGCCCTATCTTTGTGCATAAACTTGCTGTTGAAGTGGTGGTTCATTCCTGTTGAATTTTCTAGTATATGTTGTAAATTTATGGCATTTTAACATATGGAAGTACTCCACCCATTATGTTTTACCGAGATATGGAATCTGATTTACAAATTCAGAGTCTTCCTCCAACTCACCCCTTTCTTTCTTTTCCCAACTTTTCAATTGTATCTGCTTCTCTAGCACACATTTATTCTTTATAATTACATAGCTGATCCCTCCTGCTGGTTTCATAGAAAGGGGTCTTACAAAGCCTGCTTCTGGGAATTGGCAGAAAATGGACAGTCATATTACCAAGTGTGAGAGATCATTCACCCTATGGAAATCCTGAGCTTTCAGAATACCTGGAACTTCAGTTATTAAAGATAGAATTCTGAAAAGATAAATAAATTTTCCTTAAGAGGTGTTTCTTAGCACACCTTTTCTGATTTCTTATTTTCTTCTTTTAGAACAGCCTCCAAATCCTACCACTATTTTTCTATCCTCACCTTTCAAAATCCACTCATTTTAGTTCTGTGCCAAGATACACCTAAGCCTCTACCTCAGTTAGACGCCCCCAGAAACTCAAGAAAATCTCCTGATTTGCTTTTCTAAGAAGAACCTTTTAAGTATCGAATGACTATATTTCCCAGCCCCAATATTAAATTTTACTATCTTATACTGAGTCTGACCTTCTGGCACCTGTGTTTCCTATCTGCTGACTATCTCTTCCAAGTTACCCCAAACCTTCCTGAGAGACTCGGTGCTACTCCCTCTGCTGCCCTGTCTTCTTGAGTTACATTCAGTTCTAGAATACTTGCAATACTACTTCCCCTTCCCCACACAGTAAATTAGTATTTAATTTCCGGAATCTAATTAGAGAAAATGGAGTCCGTACCCTGAAAAGAGCAGACACGGTCTGGAAAGAAGAACCCTTCTTCTTGCCACCTTTCTTTCCACCGCCCTCTGAGGGGAAGAGAAACCACAGGCACTCATAGTATAGGCTTTCTTTGTCTCAGTTTTATACCTTAAATAAAGATGAATTCTGTTGGTAATTACCTGCTTCAGCAGATGTTGCGCCAGAGAACAGGAAAGCCAGAGTCTTCACTGAAGACTTCTGGTACAGCCCAACCACCGTCTCATTCAGGGGGTCCTTGTTCTTGTCCAGCCAGCCAGTGATGTTGTAGTCCACTGTTCCCGCATAGTGAATGAGGGAGAAGTGGGCCTCAGTCTTGCCCTTGGCAGGTTTGGGCTTCTGGAAGTTGTTGGACTTTCCAAGATGCTGTTCATAAAGCTTGTTCTTGAAGGAGGTGTCTGTGGCCTTGGGGAACATGCACTCCTCTTCCAGGATGGAGAAGATGCCCATAGGCTGAGAGAATGAAAAGAAACATGCCACTTGAATTGTCTGCCTGCAGAAATAATGGGTAGCATTCTGATCTGACTTGAGTAAATACATCGTATCATTCTTTACAGTTAGTGAAAACTCATTTCTTCAGTCAGAAATTGTTAAATGGCAAGTATTAATTGGGTGCCTATCAACACCCAGGTGTGTGCTGGGCTCTGGGATATGACGGGGAGTAGGATGAACAAGGAAGGACCTCTGGTGGAGTTTGTGTCTTTGCCCCAAAGCCTTGGAGCAATGTTTCTCCAAGTGTGACTTGCAAATGGGTTGTGTCAGAAACACCTGGTAAAAATGCAGATTCCGAGGCTCTACCCCACCCTTACCCAAAACGATTTCTAGGAATGAGCTTAGGGGAATGTGCAGGTTTACTCAGTACTTGCAGGGTCTTTGGCAACTGAGAGCCCCTGCTTTAAAGTACTAGGAACTCCACCTTCAAATACCAGCAGTGATGACTCCAAAACTGACAAAGAAATAAGTGAATCATGCTCTCCTCAGAGCTCTTTAATAAGGAAAGATGGTTTAAGAATCAGACTTGTCATCAGACTATGAGGAAGGGTAGAGTTCTGGACTCTAGGAAAGGCTGAGTCTCCTTTCATCAGATCATCTCCCTCAGAGTTGGCCAAAGGACCTTCCCTGATCTTAGTTACCAATAGAAACCTTTTACCAGAGTGTGCAGTGAGATTTGTGATTTTCTTTTAAATCCGGGTCAGCAGGGTGACCTGTGGTCTGAGAAAGGAAAGCGAACCTTCTCGATGAGCTCGATGCAGGCGGCCAGGTCCATCCCGAAGTCGATGAACTCCCACTCGATGCCTTCCTTCTTGTACTCCTCCTGCTCCAGCACGAACATGTGGTGGTTGAAAAACTGTTGCAGTTTCTCATTGGTGAAGTTGATGCACAGCTGCTCCAGGCTGTTGAACTAAATAAGTAGAAAATACAAATGAACATTCTTCTCGTGATAACAGCTTCTCCTCAAAAGGACCCTTCTTACACAGTTAGCCTAACTGCTCCCTGCATGAAAACACAACCTGACTCAGAGCGATGTCCCCATACACAGAAGCCAAAGAGGTTCTGAGACACGGGTGAACCTTGCAAATACTAGGCTGAGTGAAGGAAGCCAGGTTCAAAGGACCACATAGTGTGTGATGCCATTTACATGAAATGTCCAGATTAAGCATATCCTTACAGACAGGAAACAGATTTCTAGGGGGTGAAGTAAGAGGGAAATGGGAAAGAGGTTGCAAGTTTGTACTGTCCTTAGCACTCTTATTTGAAAACTTGTGGATTACTCTTCATATTGTTGCTTGGCACCAGATTATTCCTCTCTTCTCATGTTGGGTTGAAGATTTCTGGAAATGCTTTTGTTCTTAAACCCAGAAAATCTCATCCAGTGTCCATGAGTGCACTCAGAGACAGGTGTGGAGATGGGACTTCTGGATCAGACACACCTGAGACACTGCTGTTGGGGAGGAGACTTGGATAAACTGCGTGGGAGGTATTCTGTCTTAGGCAGATGAATTTGAGTTTCTTTTTTTTTTCCATTTATTTTTATTAGTTGGAGGCTAATTACTTTACAAAATTTGAGTTTCTTTACCATGCCATTTCCGTCCCCTAGACTGGCCATATTGGAGAAGGAAATGGCCACCCACTCCAGTGTTCTTGCCTGGAGAATCCTAGGGACGGCGGAGACTGGTGGGCTGCCGTCTATGGGGTCTCACAGAGTCGAACACGACTGAAGCGACTTAGCAGCAGCAGCAGACTGGCCATGGAGGGCAGGTGAGAATCTCTGAGTTGTGCTTTGAATTTGTCATTATCTTCCCCATGGCCATCTTTTCTGACATTGTCACCCTCATCACCTTCTTTATCATTTACTAAATGCTAAACTATGTGCTGGGGGACAGTGCTTAGGTCTTTAAATCCAGAAACCTTGTAATGGCAAAAGATTTACAGAAGTAAGTGTGTTATCTGAAGCTTTCTGTACAGGTCCTAGGTGAATTTACCCTGTTTGGAGTCAATACCATTTTCATTATCTAAGTTCACAAAGGTGCAGTTTGAGCCCACATGTGTCTTATCCCAAAGCTGATGTCCTTTCATGGACTTTTGATCTCCTTTCATGTGTCAGTTCAGTTTGTAGTGTACTATTTTCATGAATTTTTTAAAACATTTACTGTGGCAGCAAGATTTGTAAGTTTTCCTCCTGCCAAGTTTCTGCTTACTCACATCAAAGATCTCAAAGCCAGCGATGTCCAAGACCCCGATGAAGTACTGCCTGGGCTGCTTGGTGTCCAACTGCTGGTTGATGCGGGTGACCATCCACAGGAACATCTTATCATAGACGGCTTTGGCCAGAGCACCCACTGCATTATATACCTTCATGGACAAAGTAATGATCATTGCCATTAATAAAGGCATGAAGTGAAGGCCTGGGAAGGATGTGACTCACAGAGGTTGTGCACTTACCTGCTGCACAGTCTGGCCTTTGGTGACAAACTCATTGCCGACCTTGACTCTGGGGTAGCAGAGAGCTTTGAGCAGGTCAGCAGAGTTCAGACCCTGGAGGTAGGCGGCCTTGTCAGCAACTGCAGAGACACAATTCAGACATCCAGCATGGCCTACTCTGGCCCCACAACACCTAGGGGCGGAGTAAGGAGGGAATCACTGCTATGTGGGGTTTGGTTTGTGTGTCCATCAGATGCTCAGGTGTAAAGGAGACAGCTTGGAGTCGGCTTACTTGCTTATTTTCTCTCATTTAACCCAGTTGGGGGTTCATTTGGTACCTTCAGTGCCATCTGGTTCTGCTTGCTCCTCACGCTGCTTTTGCTTGAATTTCAGGTTCCCATAATGCATTACTGCCCCATTTCGTACCAATTAGCTCTGGCTTCTTGTTAGACATGATCTGATAAAAAATATGGTAGCTTCTTTCTGCCTTCAGCTGGAAAGTGACTCTAGACTTCTCCAGAAGATCTGCAATGGCAAGTGGACATGGGATTAGAGGGAAAACTGATAAAGTTCTTGAAGCGACTTTGGTTCTTGGGGTCAGTAACTAAAAATTTCATTGGCCCCTTGTGATTTCAGCTGAATGGTCCCATGAGGTACCACGTAATTTTGTCTCTACCACTGTGGTTACTCTTACCACCTCTTGACGGAAACTCATGTTCTCTGGCTCAAGACATATTCACCTCTCATGCAGAGGATCCTTGCCATTTTGGGTGTAATTGATTCTTGATAACCTGTTCCTTCTCAGGGTCTCTGCTCCCTTTATAACAGGGGGGTTATTACTAACAGCAACATTTATCAAGTTCACACTAAGGAAGAAATCTCATACACTAAACCCAACTAATGCACCCCTAATCTTAGTCCTTTGTTAGAAAAATTTGAAATGTCTTGTGAGGCTGGAATCCTTCTGACAAGCCCAGCAACTCCTGGCAGTTTCTGCAGCCCCTGACTGAAGCGGGTGAAACACACCATTCACTCTAGTTAGACTGGCATTTCCCAGGGGCGTGTTTGGCAGTGAGTGGTGTTGCACAGGCTCCAGGCCCAGCAGGAGTTGTAAGATGTTCCTCCAATCAATCACTGTCACTCTGGATTCTGTTTAGGAGGTCCTGTTACTCACATGTTTCAATATCAGCAGAAGCCAGTTTCCCTGTGGTACCGAAGTGGATCCTGATGAATTTACCCTTGCAAGTGAAAAAGACGATGTTATATATAAAACTGGAAGCACACAGTAAAAGAGACTGAAATAATAACACAGACAGCCCTCTCTGGCATCTAAAACAACACCCTTCTGTGACCAGAGACTTACAAAGCGAGAGGAGTTGTCATTCCTCACGGTCTTGGCGTTGCCAAAGGCCTCCAGCAGGGGATTGGCACTGATGATCTGATCCTCCAGAGTCCCCTGCCAAGGCAAAAGCAGTGCTCACATCTGGGGCTTGGGCGTTTCTCACCTGACAGCCCACACGCTGACCTGGCAACCTGACCCACCTGCATTTTGCCTGAAGTTGGTTCCTCCTTCTTCTTCTCCCCAGTGACTGCAATTGTTGCAAAGTACTGGATGACACGCTTCGTGTTCACAGTCTTCCCAGCCCCGGATTCTCCGCTGTCAAACAGTTATCAAATATATGTGAGAATTTAAGCTCAATGACAAGTGAAACTGCTTCCTTCATCACCCTTAACTATCCAATGTGCCTGTCTTTATATGTCTTTGTCAGAGCCCCCTAGGTTTTTCTCTTCAGCCTGTGTTTAGCTCATATTATTTCTGTTGCTTTACATTGATGAAAAGCTGAGACGTTCAATCATTAATCATGCAGCACGGGTTTCTTGAGCACTTAAAATGTGTCAGACTCTCTTCTATGTGCCGAGGAGGGCTTGAGGAGTCCAAGAAGCAGCTACTCAACCATTATGTAGAAAATGAAATGATCAGTAAAAACTCTTTGAAGCAATGCATGCGTTCTTTTGCTTCCTTAGACTAAAGAAACTCCCAAGTTAGGTCTTTGAAGGAACAGACATTCCTCCAGTAAGGCTTGAAAATGAACCACTGGTAATATTCACAAAGTGTCCAACCTTTAGAAGGTGTATATGCTTGCTGTCCAGTACTGGGTTCTGGCCATGTGTGGACATAGCGTTCTACATCTAATCCCTGGAAAGCTCTGGGACTTTTAAGGTTGGTCTAGCAAATGATGTAATTTGGGACATTGCTATTTTACATTCGGATGCAATCCGAACCCTATAATAAATAATAACGATATTTAGTTCTGGCTGATTTGCCATTGCTTTAGTATGGGGGCATGAACTAATTATTCCTTTGATTAGTAATTTTCCCAGTGAAAATAAAATTGGAGTGTCAGAATAATAATACATACGTGATCAAGATAGACTGATTCTCCCGATCTAGAAGAAAAACAGTGGACAATCAGCTTATCTACCAGTTACTTACACAGAACTTCCTACAGGGAAGCACTGAGGGCATTGAGTATAAGTGTCATATTCAGGAGAATTTTTCAGTATATTATTATAAAGGTACCTGTGATGTTGTTATATTTCTCAAGTTGGGGAAGAGAAACATTAAAATGTTGTCACATTTTAAACTCCTTGAACTCCACAGAAAGTGTGTCCTTCTGGTTTAAAGGAAAGAGCAATTCTTTCCAGAGGCACAGTTGTTATCCCTAGGCTCCAGTGGCCTGCTCTTCATGGACAAATGCATATAACTGAGAAATGCACAGTACACTAAGGATTCAGACTGTATTTCATAGTTCCAAATAGTGTTAATTAGGCCAAGATTGAGATTTAGTTTCTAAAAGGATCAGTCTCACACAGACACACAAACACACATACACACATCTGTCTGTCTCAAGATCCCAAACTGCAACCCTAACTCTGATCAGGCTTCCCAGAGTAGGCCACTGGGTCAAAGACAGATCAGAGAGGATGCCTTAATCAGAATAAAGTCCTTTGGAGAGGGGCCAGTAGCAGCTTCCATTTGAATGCTGTAGTCCCCCAATACCATTTCATTCAGAGAGAGGCTGCTATCTCTGAAATGGTTTCTGATAACTTTAAAGACATAACAACACTTCTTAAACCATCTAATTCAAAATCAACAAGAAACTTGGGTACTAAACTGATTGAGCATATATTTTTCATTTCTGTTCAGACAGTGCTATTCAGCTCTAACTTAACCTTTTTTGTTACTTGAATATATAAAATGAAGCATGCATTTCTCAGCAGGGAGACTGTAAACAAATTAAACTTAATTGGGTTGGAGCAGCAGCATGGTCTGGTAAAGTCGTGGAGGTGGAATCAGGAGAACCGAGGTTTTTTTTCCCACTTGACAGTGTATGCATGTCTATTCTTTCCTCACTTTTGGTGTGCAACTAAGGGGCTTGGATTTGGATTTGGTTATTTCTAAGGGTCTTTTTATGTTTTAGCTTCACCGTTTTGTGATTATAGATGGTGAAATAATTTGTATGAAAAATAGTCAAGGCTCGTACCAGTCAGCATGAACTGATAGGCGTTGTCAGAGATGGAGAAGATGTGGGGCGGGGCCTCCTGGCGCTTTTTGCCTCGGTAGGCCGTCACCACCTCTGCATTGTACACCGGCAGCCACTTGTAGGGGTTGACAGTGACACAGAAGAGGCCTGAGTAAGTCTGCACCATAAAAAAAAGGAATATAATTGTTTCATGAGGACACTAATACTGGTTTTCAGAATGTTAACCGCCTGCCTGAACAGGGGCCATGAGAACAGACTCACATAGATCATCCAGGCCGCATAACGCTCTTTGAGGTTATAGAGCACAGCGGGCTCATGCAGGTGGGTCATCATGGCCATGTCCTCGATCTTGTCGAACTTGGGAGGGTTCATGGGGAAGACTTGGTCTTCTTTCACAGTTACTGTCTGTCAAGTCAAACAAGAGAGGCCAGGTCAATAAATAAGTGTCAGCTCCCCTAACTGGCAGTGGGGCCCCGTCTCATCCCCCCCAGATGCTCTACTCACCGCTCCAGCTTCGGTCTTGGCTGTCACCTTCCCCCCTTCTCTGCTCTGCACGGTTGCTTTCACAAAGGACTCCTTAGGGTCCGCCACAAAGACCGAGGTCTTGGCATCAAAAGGCTTATTCTGGGCCTCAATGCGCTCCTTTTCAGACTTTCGGAGGTAAGGAGCAGCCTCCCCAAAAATAGCCATTTCCTGGTCTGAACTCATGGCTGCAGTTTATTGATGGCAGCCCAGTCAAAGACCCTGCCTGGCAGAGGAAGAAAACATATTACAGAAATTCAGAAACTAGATCATTGGATTCATGTTTAAAAAAAAAAAAAGAAACCCAACCTTACTCCTTGACAAGTTGAGCACTAGCCTCTTGTTGGGTATGACTACCTCCCTGGCTTGGCTGGAGGTGAAATGTCAGTCTCTGTGTTCTGTACCATTGCTGACAGATACTATTTGGCAAGAGACTCTTGGTTCTGGCTCATCTTCTACATGATATTGTAACTCCTTTCTCTGTTTCTTTTGCATAAAAGAAAATTGCCTATCATCAGCTTATACAGAACATAATGCTAAGATGACAGCAGGATTTCTCAAGCTCTTTCACCTGTCTTCCAATCAGATTACAGGGACCTTGCAGACTGGGAGTATGTTCCTTCTATAGCATCCTTCACACCTCTTAGAACACATGCTGGGTGTGGGTAAGGACCAGAGTTGGCTTTATATATTAAAAGATCAATACAACTATGTTGCTAAAGTTATAGGAACTATTTAGTGCATGGTGAAAACTTTTTCATTATAGATTTGGAATTTACAAGGACCACCTAATAATAAAGGAAAGCATAAATGTGAGGAGCTTTGTTTTGCATTGTTCAGTTAAAAATATCCTGTTTTTATATCCACTACTCTTGTTCCTGTGCCATAATTTTGAGAAACTCAGCTTCTTCACCTGTCTTTAGTATTTCTCAAGACATTAGTTATTACTTAAGTTTTCTAGCTTTATTACTAGTATTCTCATAAAAATTTCAGGAAACTTTTTCTTTTCAAAATCTGTCTCTTGTCACTTTAACATTCATTACTCCTGTCAATAAGAATCATATATAACCTATTTTATAATTTTTAAAAAGATATTTTATTGAAAAAAACTCAAAGCACTTGAGTAGTCTTCTCAATATTTTTCTATTCAACTACAGTGGTTTGGATAGCACAATTAAAATCCTTTGTCTAGACTTTCCTGGCAGTGCAGTGGTTGGGACTTCACTGTCCAGTGCAGGGAATGCAGGTTCGATACCTGGTCAGGGAACTAAGATGCCAAATGCCTCGGTGCCAAAAACCCAAAGCATGAAACTGAAGCAATATTGTAACAAATTCAGTAAGACTTTAAAAATGGTCCACAGTAAAAAATATTTTTAAGAAATCTTTTGTCCTACTAAAAATGCTCACAATCATTTTTCGTATCATATATTTTTTTAAATGTTTGTTATACAGAGTGTGAAACAGCATGCAGATTTCAACCACTTTTCCAAGTCAAAGATTCACTTCATTTTATTAGTCCAGTAACACCGCATCTCAAGGGTTTTTATATTATATACAGTGGTAAAAGCTATAGTATAGGACATTTACATTTTCTCTGTAAATGAGCAATAATGGTGTGAAATGCTGTGTTGCATATTGTAATTGAATTATTTAAAAGATAATCTGCAATGCTGGAAATAGAAAAAACAATGTATCTAAAAACTCCTGAAGTATTTTATTTATTGAAAAAGATACTGATTAAGGAGAACCAGTTTCTAAATCTCCCTCTGAGTTTTTCAGGGAAGCATGAACAGACATGAAATTGAAATGCTTTTATTTTGTAGCCCTTCCCCTCAACCACTCTCCAAACCACTGCAGAAGGTTTCCTACACCTTGCAAGGAATGAGAAAAACAAGGCAGTGCCTTACCTTGGAGATGCAACCTTGAAGTGGGTCAGAACTGTAAGAAAAAGAGCAAATGTCCTCTGATTAAATGCGAACAGTTCCCAATAGTAGCAAGAATGATTCTGAATTGAGAAGCAGGAAGTGACTGGGAACACCAAAACATCTAATTAAAATTGCTGCGGAGTAAGTTGGTGCTTTGCTGGAATGGCTCCCAGGGGCAGCAGGAGCCAGGATGTGTGGCATGCATGCGGGCAGCCAGGCATCACTGCTGGCCCTTCAGACAGAGCCCTGTCCTCACACACACTTACCTTGAAGCTTTATGAGGAAAGACAAGTCATACTCATCCCCAGGGTACTTTTATAGGGTCAAGTATGGAAAACACGTTGCCTCCTCCTCTTCCTTAAATCATATTTGGCAAAACGTGTTTTTGGCAATGAAGGTCTCCAAGCATAATTCCCTTCATATTAAAGATGTTTGGATATAATTAGAAATATTTCCTCTCACATTGGGTTAAGTGTATAAATCAATCTCCTATAAATAAGCTGAGATGTTGGCAACCTGAAAGTGGCTGCCTTTGGAATAATGTAAGGTGTCGTTTCAGAGACAGCTATGAGCTGTGTTCCCTGGACTTTGTTGCCTGCTGCTGTTGTATTTCACTGAATCGCCTATGGGAGTCTTTTCAACTGCCTGCACAATTGCAGATATTATACTAGGGAGGAAAGTTTCTGCTCTTGACCAGAGCATCAGAAAAAGATAGTTTCTCTCAAGAAGCCATGGTTTTCTTCTCCCAAGTTATTGTATTTTTTTCAAGGATGCTTAAAAATTCAATTTAAAAACTTTCTTCATGAAGAGCAACCAAAGATAGACAGCTTTTTTTGTTTCCTTTGGTTAGTCACTTCTGATTCATTGTCAAATCATTTTTGCCAAGCCGGCAAAATCATTTTCCTTCACTTTTATTTTTTAAATGCAAGTTGCTTGTAACATCTGTTTTCCTCTATGAAACTTACCATAGAAAACACTAGAAAACAGGGCATTTCTCTGTCTAAATATGTAACATCTGTGACTTCTCTATCAGTTATCTCTGGTATATATTTCACATTTTGCTTACAAACAATGCCGGTACATTATTTTCTATTTTGATTTTTAATTTTGAAAATGTTGGCTTATCGTCTCTGTGGTCTTGCATCTCTTTATGTCAGCATTGTTTATCTGGGACTGAGACAAAATTTGCTTAATATACCCTGTTTGGTAACCATCCCTGTATTATTGTACTGATATTTCAGTTGATTCAGCACAAAGAGGCTGCCTTATGAAAGCAGATATCTGGAGATACTGTTTGTAAGTCACATGACTTTATTGCTGTACTGGACTATCTAACCCCTATTCCTTACCTCACTAATAATGTAACGGAGATTCCAAGAACAGAAGAGAGTTCACAAATGACACAGCAGTGTAGGCACGGGGCACCTGATTGGCAGTCCAGTGTGCTTGCTGGTAACTGAGTTTGGTTAAAGCCTTCAGGAAGGGTCCTTGGAGACATGAGTCTGAGAGGGGCTTCCCTAGCCTACCCTTCACCTGCTTTGTAACCACAGGTGCATCATTTGGCTTTTTTACACACTTTATCAGGAAAATGTTGCATTTTCTGGAAGAGAGAACATTTTAATAATGCTCTCAATAGAGTTCTGTGGGAATTTTAAGACAGCCTTTGGACTCCTCTGGATAGAGTTTCCAATAAGTAGAAAATAGACGTTGGTTTTGGTCATGACTGCCAAGTTCTGAGGCACACAAGTATTTACAGGTGGTGTGGGAACACAGTGACAGTGGCCAGGGCAGCGAGAAGTGATTCCATACCCTTCCTGAGCCAGTGTGATGACAGTCTGAATCCAAATTACCTGTGCAACTACTTCCACACATATGATTAAGTCAGTTCTCTCGCAGGGCCATTTAGACTGATGTGCTTTCTATTCAGATGGGAAATCATCATTTAGTCTTTCCTTTACTTTATGCTGTCCAAGAAGGTTATATTTTTGGGTATGCACTGCAATTAAATCCAGCTTAAAAAAAATCTTGATTCTCTTGGGAAACTCCTCTAAATAATTCAGGTTGCTACTATAGCTTTTGCACCAAATTCTTATCATTCTGTGGGTTTAATATACATTTGAATAATTTATTTGGGATCATTGTATTGATACTTGTAATAATTTATTTTGACTCTTTACATAATTATAGGGGGTCATAAAGTCTGGAAACATAGGCTAATAAATAGCCTATTGATATTACATAATATATAGAACAATATTTTGTCTCCAGACTTTATGGCTTTCATAGAGAGAAGTCACATCTCAGTTTCATGTGGTTATCTATTACCCAGCACATATACTATGAATATATTGTGCACTGGTATTAATGATGAAAGTCTTTCTGTCCTGGTAATACCCATACTTGGAATTCATATTAGCTCTGAATTCAAGGAGAATTAGCAAGGAGAATTCATGATATACTTCAGGAGGCACCCCTGTGTGAGAATATAACTAGGGCCATTCCTTGCATAAACCTGGAAAATAGATTCACGTTAGGGGAAGTAGGAGCTTTCTGAGTTCCTACTAGACCCCAGTATCAGGGAAAGACTAGGAAGAAATAAAAGTAATTTCCATATTTCTGTTCATCAGAACAGGCTTCCCTGATTAGTGACAACGTTATGGTCTTAAAGTATGACTATTCCCCCTAAGTAGCTTCAGTCATGTCTGACTCTTTGTGACCCCATGGAATGTAGCCTGCCAGGCTCCTCTGTCCATGGGATCCTCCAGGCATGAATACTGGAGTGGGTTGCCATTTCCTTCTCCAGGGGATCTTCCCAACTCAGGGATCGAACCCACATCTCCTGCATGGCAGGCAGATTCTTTACTGCTGAGCCACCAGGGAAGCCCCACAGTATGACTATAGATCTAAAATAAAATCAAGTGCATAATTACTTCTTAGTGGCAGATCAAATGGGATTGTTTATAGCCTATGGTTATTTCAGTTTTGACTTTGCTTCAGTAGAAAAAGAAAGGAACAGACCAGTCTAAGGGTATTGCTTATACAGTGCCCTATGCTCTTTATTTCCTTTGCAGTAGGGTAGGATAGATGATAATTACAGAGAGAAATGACCAAAGACTTCACATTTTGTGCCTCTCTTCAGTCATTCCATAGCATCAGGACATGATCACTCTTCACTGATGATTTTTGTGTGAACCTCCCGGCTCTTCACCCGCAGCTTGTTGACCTGGGACTCAGCAATGTCAGCCCTTTCCTCGGCTTCCTCCAGCTCGTGCTGGAGCTTGCGGAATTTAGATAGATTTGTATTGGATTGTTCCTCCTGAGAATAAAAATGGAATTGTAAGGAATGCATACTGAGCATCTCGTAGATTCTGTAGGCCTAAGGAAAGAAAGGACTTGGCATCTACGAAGAAGTTAGAATATTCAACAGGAGACATTATTATCCTACCACCTCCTGGATTTTGCTTATCATTGAAATTAACTTTAAGATTTACTGGGGCTTTGTGTTTCATAAAGAATTGCAGCTCTACTTTTACAACCAAAACAGGATAATAAATAATGTACCATGAGTAACCAAAACATGGTAACAAATATGTACCACAAGTAAAGCAAGAAATAATATAAGAGCAGGAAAGAAGGCAAGGATAAAATCATGCTTGTTAATGCTTGCTGGAAGATGATGACTGTTCGTTTAAGTTAGATATTCTTCGTCATTAAGGATGCATTTCTTAATAGCTTCTTTAAGTAGAAATAAATGTTGGATTTTATCATATATTATTTTGGCACATTTCAAAACAATCACTTTTCCCCTCCTACTTCATAGTAATGATTCTGTTGACAGACTCCTTAATATTAAGTAATCCTTACTTTGTAGGAATTAAATCTATTTAATCACTGATGGACAATTTCCTTAATAAAGTATGGGTTTCAGTAACTTAGTAATTTATCTTCACTACAACTATACTTATGAATAAAACTGCCTTTAGTGTCTTTCCCCACCCCTGTTCTCTTTTGGACAGGTTTTGGTATGAGTGTTATGCGAGCTTCTTAAAATGATTTGGAAAGCTTTTCATCTTTTCCCATGCTCTGAAGTAGCTTACATAGCTCAGGGATTATCTGTTCCTTCAAATTTTGAAAGACCTATCTGGACTGAGTTCATTTTCAGAAGTAATTCTGAAATAACTTATTCAGCCAATTTAATAATTTATATTCTCTTATTTAATATTTCAACCACCTTGATAGATATGTATTTTACATTTAAAAATAATCTTCCTGATATGGTTTGTCCCCTTTCTCATTTGTAATGTTGTGAGTTTTTACTTTCACTTTTTCTTTGATTATATAAGTATATTTATTTTTTATCAATTCCCAAGACACTACTGAGATTAGATGTTGAAAATAGGATATACTAATTCATTAATTTCTATATTACCTTTAACAGTACCTCTTCATTATTTTACTATTATTTTTAACTTCTTTATTGGACTGTCAGTTTCTTCATTTATTTTTATTTTTGATTCATAATGAAAGCTTACAAAGAAATGAATTGTCCTTGAAGGACAGCTCAGACTACATTATAGGTTTATAAAAGTCTTATCTTCCTTGAAGTTTTATTTACAGTTAAAAATTATTCAGTAACTGTGTTTTTATTTCAAGTTAATCCAAAAATTTTTTAGGAAAGTCAGTTTTTTAACATTTAAATGCTTTGAAATTTTTGTTTATATTTTCTCATCACTTTACAACTTTATCACACTAGGGCTAGAAAATGTAGCTTGTATTACTTCTGCTTTGAGATTTTTTGAGGTTTCTTCGTGGATAGAAAGTTAACTTTAAAAATTAAAAAAATGTGCAAACATTTTTAAGAAGTACTCAGTCTTCTATAATGCAGACAGCTTATTTACTACTAGTAAATAGTAAATCTAATTATTTATGAGTTTTTCTTAATAGAGGACTTTCTTCTCTTTGTCTTAAGAATACTTACAGCCTCCTCAGCTTGTCTCTTGTAAGATTTCACTTTCGCCTGAAGTTTATCTACCAAGTCCTGAAGTCTGAGAATATTTTTCCGATCTTCTTCCGTCTGAAAGATGATAAAAGCCACAGGGTCATAGTTCAAAAGCACACGACTGTTGTATCATTACCTGGGAGCATTTCCCATATATGCAAGGAGTGCTGAGCTGATAGAAACTGTTGCTGTACCTGGTAGGTGAGCTCCTTCACTCTCCTCTCATGTTTGCGCAGGCCCTTGACAGCTTCTGCATTGCGCTTCTGCTCACTCTCAACCTCTCCTTCCAGCTCTCGCACCTGCAAAGGAGTAGGTGCTTAAGAACTTTGATCCACTAAGGC